TACCGCCGAGGGTTCCGCGCTTCTCGATACACGCGGTCTGCCAAAGTGTTCAGTTAATACGTGGATTGCAACGGCACCGGCCCAATCAAAACCGGGAAGCTTGGAGAGGAAGTAGTTCGTACCTTGAGACCCTCTTGACCGGCCTTGATAGCGGCAACGTAACCAGCGACACCACCACCGATGATGACCAGATCGTGATCGCCTGTTGCCCGGGAAAGCGGAAATCAGCAATCGCATCCGGGAAGCAAAGAGAACCTCAACGAGAACTCTGTGTCAACGATACAAATATTGACTTACCTGATTCAGAAGCGAAACCGCGTTTTGACTGGTTAATGAAGATCATGGGAGTAGCGAAATTGTTGGGAACAGCCCTCGGGCCGGCATGGCGGAGAGCAGACCGGGGCACAGCCCGGGGCAAGACAGCACGGAACATAATGAAAGAGGAAACAAAAGACTAGTGGTCTTTAGATATAAATGCAATCCTCAATGCGAGTGGATTGAAGTTGTTGGGAGTGCACAAATAGGGTGGGTGGATTCGAGTACGGGAAATGACTGAGCTTTTGCGGTATTGCTTCGCTTCACCGCCCACGACCGACTGTGGCCGCAAAGCTGGTCTGTACAGGAAAGGCGGTGAATACGGGCCGGCTATTTACCGGAGGATTTCGGGAGGAGGTTCCGACGATTGTGCAGGCAGAATATAGAACACCGCCCAAATATTTTGATCGAAGATATCCAATATGATACCAGGAGAAAGGACTCTGAACATTTAATAGCACACGTAGTTGTGTAAGTTGTGAGTTTTCATTTATACGGCAAAGCCCAAGAGATTGGCAGTTTGATCATTGCAAAATCTACCTAGGACTACTCCGGGTAACGCAATTTGCTAAGCCACTTCCTACGGGCTGGAGTTAGCGGCCATTCCCCAGAGATTTTGCCTACCCGCGGGCCATTTTTATCGGCAAGGATTCTCGGTCTCGGCGGTCTCCGCCGCGGTTATAAGCGGATGGAAACTCCAGTTTGAGACTTCGATACCCCAGGCCTTTATATGAGCATCCACTCTTTAAGAGTGGTGGATCCGGGAACTAGGATATCAAAATGATGTTCGACCTTGGATGTCCTGCTTGGCGCTGTCATTCAAGTGGCCCTTGGATTTTCGCATAGATTATATACTTTCTTCAAAATTCTTACCGTTCACTCACTCATTCCTACACTGTGGAAAAGTGCCGGAAGAGAAATGGCCGACTTTGAAAGACAATTCTCCCAACCTGTGTGTACTGTACTCTTGCCTAGGGAGTGTTTGTCCATGGCAATGACAGCCCCTGGTGGGAGGTATTTACAATAGACTGATATGCAAAGCTAGACGGCATGGACGAAAACGGCTTCTCACTAAGGTCAAGGCTAAGCAATATTCATTGTAAGTAGGTAAGCGAGCAATTCAGAACAGAAGTTCAAAGCCATGTCCCAAGTGTATACTCTACACTGAGTCCGTGAGTTCATGAGCTCGTGCAATACAAATCAAGGCAGATTTAACCCTGTCCACATGACGATTTCTCCTCCTTTCGAATTCTCCTCTGTCGCCACTTGATCCCATTACACGCGACTATCCACAAGCAAGGAGAAACACCAATAGAGATCAAAGCAAGCATGGTGTACGCCCAGCCCTCACCCATAGCAGAGCGCATAGGGCTGATTGCCGCCGACGCCGCAGCACCGAGCTCACACCGGAAGAGGTTATTTGCTGCAGTCGCGGTCGCCGACTTCCCCGGCCAGAGATCAACCATCAGAGCATTCAATACCTGCGATGTACCAATGATCGACCATCCGGCAATGAACAAAATAATGATAGGAGCAGCAAGGTTGACTTTATGACCCAGCACCCAGCCGTATGTCAGCATCGACACGTTACTAATATAGTAGAGTGGGAGCGCGACTTCCAGCCTTGCACGCTCAATGTTGAAGTTGCGGATGTCTACACGCACATTCTTGATGATAGTCAGACCAGCACGCTTTGCATGGCGGCGGTAGTTCCAGTCGACCAGCCGGCCAGTCGTGAAGGCTGACAGCACGCCTCCTCCGCCGATGGGGAGGTACATCAACGCAGCATGGAGGTCGTCGAAGTGATAGATTTTGTGGAAGGAAGTTGACGCACCAGTCATGACAGCATAGAAACCAGCAAACAGGAGTCCTGTGGTGAGTAGGATGACCGACGTCTCGATATCGAGGACGACCTTCATAGTCGGGACCGGTGACGGGAATCGAAGAGAAGAGTTCTTCCACACCCCAGCTTCCTTGTCTGGATCAGCCACGAGGCCCTTCCGTTTGCGCGTGCGGTGCCGAATAATATCTGCCAGGGAGTTATTCAAAGGAGGTGGTGGGATGGATCCGTCGCCGACGACTTTGCGACAGGTCTCCGGTAGGAATAGTCCGAGGACGAGGAAGAACGCGCCACCGAAGATGAGCAGAAACCAAAAGATCCAGTGCCAATTAGTGTACTGACTGAGAAGGCCGCCGATGATTGGTGACAAAGAGGGACCTAACATACTCCCGATTGAAGCGAAGGCGATGTATGAGCCTCGTTCCGCGGACGTGATCATGTCGCCGACCAAACCATTTGCCAGGGCCACAGTCCCACTACTCCCTGCGCTCTGGAGACATCTGAGAGCTAGGAGGGCAGCATAGCTGTTTTGCAGAGCTAGTCCTAGGTTGGCTGCAAGGTAAATTGTGAAGCAAATGATGTAAGCAGGACGGCGGCCTGCGGTGTCCGAGAAGCCTGCGATCAGCATGGGTGCCACCCCCTGCATAATCTAGAAATGAGGAATCTGGTCAGTTTTGCATATCTTTGAGAATATTGTTGTTTTCATTGACTTACCAGGTAAGTGGTGACAGTCAAGTTCACCTGGGAGACGGAGATATGCAGGGAATCCGCGATAGTGGCTAAGGCGGGCAGATAGATGCTCGAAGACAAGGGTGAGAAGAAACTAGCCAGTGACCCCATGGCCACAATAGCCCGCTTCTGGGCTACTGTGAACTGGGAATACCCTTCTAGACGTGTGTCTCCATGCTGGCTTGGCGGGTCCGGTGTTTTGGTATTAACCTCGTTGCTGCGCTGCTGCACCATGTTGCCTTTTTCCATTAGATCCTCGAGATCGGGGATTTACCATGTGGTATAATGGAAGATGGGTTTCATGAAATATCCCCGATGGTTATAATTACTTGCCCGGTTCAGGGAAGTTAACCAATTAGAGTTCGACAACGGGTTCTCAATCCCGGGACCGGCGACGTGAACTCAGCCTTATAACGTGATTTGCCTTGCACTTGCCACTCTTGCAACCGGAATGTATGACCCGTGAGCCATGTAGTCGCTAGTAAGTATTTGCTTGGGATCAAGTCTTTTTTTCTGCTTTCTTGTAGGCTTGGATGTCATATACACGAATTTCCATCTATTGTAACATGCATTCTCATGTAGACTGCAAACTCGAGTGTCCTTGGAAAGTACCTACGTACCTACGTACATATCAATCGCGGATACTATCTCGAAGACAATATGGCCCATGACTGTGCTCATGGTCACACGCACTTAAATATGCGTCATCGGCATTTGTTTTCGGGCCATAACTTGGAATAAACTCACCCCCGGAGCATTAGAAGCAGAGTTTTCATTTTCCATGACCAAGGGCTTCAAGATCTGTGGAGAAACAATATGATACCTTGGCAAACCAGATTTGTGGAGAAGTGGTTCCCCGCGTAGTCGGCTTACCTCCAATATGCAAACTTTCCATTTCGAAAGAAGCGGGTAAGACAAAGACAGATGTGAAAAAGCAGACGAATCGGAAGCAATCAAACCCATTCGGTCGTAAGGATGCAGAAACATCTGAAGTCCGGCGATTTCGGCTGTTCTGTATTCTCCCCCGCCGATCCCTCCAAGGACAAACCTCATCTGTTTTATTAGCCCAGAGTTTTTCTTATTCGTTTTCCCTTTCCATTTGGGTGTTCACTTCTTGCCGCTTTCTGATCGAGTACAGCTGAGAATGCCCCTGAGAGTTGCCACGTGGCTATCCAGGTCCCTGGTTCCCTCCGATCTGTGCTATGCCAATCCCCACACTAGTAATTTACGTGACTTTTACCACTAGCTTGCAATATATCTATCCAATAGATTATATAGTAGTCGCAACCGAAAATAACAGTCATAATATTGGTGTAGCAATCTTGGAATCTTGGAATTGTATAGAATCTTGATTTTATTAATTCTTAATTGACCTCCCAAGGATGTTACAACCATTCGTCAATTATAGAATTCCATAGAGTCTGAAGTACTCTGTAGAGACATGGAGTATGAAGTAGATACAAATTAACTGCATGCGCTAACTAACTAACTAGTGAAATTTACTTAGATTATCATGGTTCCAATTAATTAGGATCTGAGAGGGGCATAGGTTATGATGTGACGAAAATAGGCATAGCCTTGAAGGATACCTTGTGCCAGTAATATGTCATTACGTGGAATGTGATAGTACTGGGCACTAAGCTTTTAATCCTGTCCCTAGTTAGTTGTATATTTTAGAATACAACATACAACATAGAGCTTCCCTTTTCCTTCGTCGGCTCCGGTCCGATAGCTCAATGCCGCTATTGATCTGCAGTGCGTGATTCAATGTGCAGCTACGTACTCCATATTTACGCAATGTGCCCTTGCAATCCGATCCTTCTCTCCGAAAAGGTACCCATCTAGTAATATATTCTCCGCACTAGAGATTCTTGATAGGACGTAGGAGTGTACACTCCTGCAGATTCATTGTCGGCTAAACAACTTTGAGATGCAACTCTTTATATGAAGTTGCAGTTGGAGTCCTCCCGATCGGCTGTAACGTTATGTCTTGGATATATTGATCGTTCTCCGAAGCAAGGCAACATGGCCTTATATATTGCACCCTGTTGCACGATAAAAGTAGTCGAAAACAGCCAATTCTCTCTTTTCATAACTATATCATATCACAGCAGACATGATTTTCTCAGCAAAAGCTATCGGCATTGGAGCCCTTCTCTCGGCGGTCCCAGTCTGTGCTGCCTCATACTCCCAGCTCAAAGTATACGATAGCACCAACTTTTTCGATGGATTCAACTTCACCAGCGACCCGGATCCATCTGGTGGCTTTGTGAAGTATGTGGACGCCGAAACTGCCAAAAGTTCTGGCATGGCCAAGATCAGCAACGGCGCAGTCTACCTTGGTGCCAACTTTGCGGATAAGAGTCCCAATGGCCGCCCTTCCACCCGGGTGAGGTCCAAGGATGTCTTCACCACTGGCCTTTTCGTTGCCGACATTGCCCACATGCCGGCTGGTACTGGGAAGGGTGGCTCCTGCGGTATCTGGCCTGCCTACTGGACTTCTGGACCTGACTGGCCCAACTCTGGCGAGATCGATATCATCGAGGGCGTCAACAACCAGAAAGCTAACGGCATCACCCTGCACACAGCAAAGGGGTGCAACATGGATGTCACCGGGTCGGAGTCGACAGCAGACCAGACTTCCGCTGACTGTGAGAATGCCGACGCAGGCTGTGCTCAGGCCACCACATCGGCCAACAACTACGGCGCTGCCTTCAACGCCAATGGAGGCGGTGTCTATGTTACCGAGTGGGCAAGCCTTTCCATTAATGTGTGGTTCTTCCCTCGCGGCAGCGCCGGAGCTAACGCGGTGCTCAATGCCGGCACTGCGGACTTGGATGTGGCGAAGTTCGGCACCCCCTTGGCTACCTTCACGCCCAATACTTGCAACTTGGCCGAAAGGTTCAAGGACAACTACATTATCTTCAACACCAACTTCTGCGGAGGCTGTAAGTACCCTACAAACTGCAGTCAAAACACATTCACTAACCTCTACAGGGGCTTCACGGGAGTTCTTGAAAGATACGAAATGCACTAGCATGGCCGCTACCTGCAATGATTGGGTTGCAAATAACCCAGCCGCCTTCAACGAGGCTTACTGGCTGGTGAACTCGGTCAAGGTCTACTCCCGAAACAAATAAACTTGGAAACCTGAGGCTGGAAGTGGATATGAATACTGGGCTGAACGCGTACCGCTTTCTCATGTCACTGGCGAAAGTTGTTCTTTGGGATATGTTTAGGGATCTACTTTGAACATAGAGTGCCTAGGAAATGTAATCAAAGATGGGAATTCGTGATACATTTCTCCGCATTTTCACTCTAATTCTAGGGAAGACCAACGTAGTAACATAGAACAATCTATATAAGTGGACCCTACCCTGAGCACAAAACACATTAATTCCGATTAATGCAGATCGCGCTCGCCGATCTATCGGCCTCACCCTCCACTGAACCAATTATGTCTATCTTTTAGACCGCTTTTGTCTCATGGGAACAGGCTGAAGAATCATTTCCCCACTGTTTCTATCGTCTACGCATTCTCATCAGAGTGCAAGAGAGAGTCAGCGTCAGAAACATATGTCTCAGACAAGCAATTGGTGCTTTGCGGCTAGTTACTCCGTTCGCACAACATCAGCCAACCTACCCCTCCCTACGGAGCACATGGCGGGGTGCTATTGGCCAACAGCACGGTACAATCTAGATTAAATGTGATATAATCGTGCCTTAGTGAATGAATATGGCCGCCTACGTACGCATTCTGACATTCTCTGTAAATTTAGTCCAAACAAGAAACCTCGATTAAACATGCGAAACCCTCCTTTCAAGATATCTCTTCTACACGATGACTCATCCATTTAAATACTATGTATGTATATCACAGCTATCAATATTATTCGAACGTGGAAAGCCGTGTTACCAGAATGACCTAGTCAAAAAACAGTGATCTTTATCTGAGTGTTGGTATTAATATCCACCACAAGGGTTGTCAAGACTAGCCATATATAGACCTCCGGACCGACCTAACCCGCAAATAGGCTGGGCTTTTATGGGGCCCAATGGGCCTCAAACAATACAAACATGCCAATTCTTGATAGATACACAAGTAATGCAGATGTTTCTAGTATTTTTGAGTATTTAAATTACCGTCGAAGACCCAAATTGACCGAGTCTTTATGGGAATTAAGTCAATTGACAGAATTGATTATGGTTTAGATTAATGAACTCAATGAGATTGATAAGATTAATAAGATTAATAAGAGTAATCAATGCGATATACAATAATGTTTCACTATCTACTAATGATACTCATATTCTTCATCATCAACATGCTTCCTCTTCCTCCCTGATGTACGCACATAAGACGGTACAGTAGTATCATCATCAGAGCCAATATCTATCAGATCCCCAGAACTAGTTCCATCATTCTGCTCTTCAGCATCACTGATCTGATTAACTTCAACATCATCTAGCTTCTTATCCTTCTCTTCTATCAAGATCTGGATCTCATCAGACCCGAAGAGATGCTCGAATTCCTTTGCACCTTGTATTTCAAGGTCAAACCTTGTCGTACAGAGGTATAACATCAGCTCTTCAATGGTATGCGGCTTTAAAGAACCAGGCCGATAATGGCAGATATCGCGCGCAGTATTGAATAGTCGCTCTACCCCAGCACCTGTTACTGGAATTGCGAGGACATCCCGTATAAGTGCAGCAATAGCTGGAAAACGGAATTAATTCTCTCTCCAGAAATCGAGTGGGTTCAGTTATACCTATATATAAAATCAGTATTAATAAAGAAATATAAGGGTTAAACATACTGCCGTCAAGATACTGCGTTACCTCATCTATAACTGGCCCGGCATAACTTTAGACTTTTGGCTTAGAACCAGGTTATCAAGAACTGATCTTGCTGTCGATCCAGAAGAGTACCCTTACGGGCCCTTAGTAGCAGTAAGACACTCCTGGATCGGAGTGAGTGCATCTTAGAATGCCACTCGATGCTCATCACGGAGTTCTTTAGAGTCAAACCAGTCATCAGAAAGGAAGAACTGGAATCTACTATCCGGCGATAGCATTGTATAAACCGCACAGATACACCCCCGCATATTATCAGTCTCACCATAATATATCAGTCTTACCATAATAGTCGCGTAGTATTAAATAGCTAGCTTCCAGAAAGGAAAGCATTTATTGTTTCCATACAACACGTTTTCGTTGTAGCTGCTTCTTTAACTGTTTAAGATGCTTAAAAAGTAAGTTATAAATCTGGAGGACACGATGCGATGTCACATCCCGAGTCTTTAAAAGGGCAAGGGTATAATCAAAGAATGGCTTTATAAGTCAAAGAAGATAGTCAATTTGGCGCCATTAATCATCATCAAGTATAAAGTCTTTACAGTTAAACTGATCGCAGAACTGCGCGATGAAAGGCTTGAACACCAAGAGCCTGTGGATGCTATCGCTGTTGTTCTGCATGGGACTATATCGTCGGGTCTATATAGATACGTACTGTATTTAGATATAGAAATGAGGACTGAAAGTTCGAGCAGGGGTCCTTTCACTTAACTGGGTGCTTTAGAAGCAGATAGTTGTATGAGAGAGAAAGAATGATAGAGACTCCGACTGATTATCTGGTATTGGTCTGACGAAACTGGGGGAAAGAAGAGAGAAGCTATCTAGGGAAGAGGTCTGTCACCTCAGATCATCTGATATCCAACAGATGCTCATTCCCACGAGTGATTATGTCTAGCCAACATTTGAAATATCCAAATCTCTGATATCTATTAGAAAAAAACTATTAGTAAGATAATCCTCTAAACAAAGGGGGGTTTCTACCCACAATACCGACTGCTACCGCACAGAAACCATCGTCTTACCACGGAAAGTCCTTTCAGGTTTTGCGTAGGTGTGATTGGAATCATACCGTAGTACTCAGGGGGGAGCGGGTCTCCCCCTAATTGCTTGCCTAGAGCAAAGTACATAAAAGTCTCAGTAAGAAAATTGACTTGACGAAACGCGGAAACCCAGAGCTGGCCGTCTGTATCAACTAGAAAATGTGCTTTTTTAAGATCTGTATAACAGCAGATTATTCTCTCGTGGCTGAAATCAATATGGTCTAGCTCTCGGTTAGGCATTTTAAAGACCTTTAAAACCTAAAAGATAAATCACGTTAGTTCTAAGACTATTTAGTCTCAAAGCTTAGGGATATGAACACGATTAAGATGACTCTCTAGATCCTGGATAGAATGGTAGGCAACGTCCGATATCTGATCATCCCAAAAGATTCTCATATGGATACGCCCCCCGCCGACGGGACCCGGTGTTATATTAAGGGGGACCTCGATTGAAATAATATCAGAAATAGCTCTTGCTCTCTGTATATCGGATGCCATATGGTCGGTTTGAATGAATTCCATAATCAGATATAGTCTATCTGATATACCGAACACGGCATAAATTTCAGGAATACGAATAGCGGCGCTTGCCCTAATCCGATCAAACAAAAATTGTTGATTTTTCCATTCGCAACAAGGGACCTCATATTTGATGAAAAACTTTTCGCCATGGTGGACGTGGATGAAATGGTTATCCCTCCGACCTTGTTTAGTGCAAAGCAATCTAACTTGCTCTTTACTAGGCAGGTCTGGGGCATTTGGAGAAACAAAATCGACAATGTCACTCATATCGGCGATCGAGAATGAGATGGAGACGTGAGGGGAGGGAAAGGGGAATTTGCGGCGTCACTGCAGGTACGACTAACTACATACATATAACTTCATCGTTAAGCGAGCTGGCCAGAGAGTTTGCGAAATGTATGACTTTATGATTACGATATATATATATATATATATATATTATTGGCTTCTGGCTCCATCTTTTGATACCAGTTTTATATTGGTACTAAGTATGGTGGCGCCGGGAAGCCAGTGGCCGCCCCTTTTAGCGGGCCGCGAGAATTCTGCATGTAACACTAACGAGCGCATATTAAATGCTAACTACGAAGTACACCAGCTACTAAATCATATTAGCAGTAATAACTCCGTTAAAGTCCCGAGGCTAGTGTGATTCAGAGAAGATCGCATGGTTTCTGTGAGTTGGATATGCCAACGACTAGATACTATGGAATACGGGGACCTAAAGGGCCTTTGTATGTAAGCACGGTGCTTGATAGGGACAAAGGGTGCAGGGATATATCTAAGAAAGGCTTCTGGGATCACATCCTCCCCCACCGAACGGAAAAACGGTCCTTCGTTTCCTGAAGGTGCACATAAACCAACATGTAAGTTCGTGTTTACGGAGTATATTAAGATTAAGCTCAATAGGCTTGGTTGCGATAAAGGAGTACCATTTTCCAGGACACTTGCACTCAAATTAATTTGCCAAGTTCGTCCAAACATAAATGATGCAACCAAGGACAATCTCTTGCTCTCCCGAGCCAAGCTCACGATATCTACGTAAGCTCTTCACGTTGTTCTGAGATAGCCCATGGTTTTACTCTAAAATAAACATTAACAAGCTATCTTTAGTTGCACCAAAACACATACATATCCCAATGCTCCACTTTGAGATAGAACTACATATGACAGCGGTTTGGAAGAGAATCAATGTTTACCATAACGTTACAGCCGATCGGAAGTACCCCTACGTATCCTAGAAAAAAGCCGCATCTAGATGCTATTTGACCGACAAGAATATGTCCACATTCTGCAGGATCCCCATACAAAAGTAGTTCTCTTAGTCTAACTGGGAAATGAACGATGTATTATCCGCGCCACTTCGGAGAAAAGGATAAATAAGTGCATGGCGAGGCTTGGCGGGTTGCGGTAAAGGAAAGACCTAGTTGGATACAGAGTCGATCTTCTTGAGTCTACGGTAGAACTAGCCCGTAAGCGACGGGAGGGAGCGAGACTAATGTTATAGACGATACTGGTTTGGTATCCTTCTAGGCGAAGTTGGCTGTTGGTTACCTGACATTACTTGATCCCAAGGTGATTCAAATACCTTCACACGGTAGAAATCCAAAGTCAACACAATGAAGAGGATAAAGTGATATGGGCGATGCCTCAAGTCCGGGGTGGACGGGATCTTCCAGTAACCAATCACATGAGGGTTTGTCACGCGACCAACCTTAATACCAAGCCGGACTGAGAAATACTCGGAACGCATAAAAGCGGCATTCCAAGGTACTCCAACCCCCACTCAAGGAAAATGCGGAGGTCAAAGAGAGCCATCGGTTAATTCACCACACCGTAAGGAGTGTGTCTACTTTATAGAGCTCATAGTGTCGCAGTTTGATTCCCGGACCGACCCCAAGCCGAGTCCAACACAAATTTCCCGAGATGTGCAGACCAAAAAAGAGGTTTCTTTCGGATTGCCGACCTTAGTAAGCCGGGTAAAAGCCCCCAGAGCTCCCCGACCTCGCCCCGCCATGACATCCCTACCACACATGATAAGTACTTGCCGAGCTCCGATTCTGACCCTCAATCCTGGACTTTCTCACGCCGGCGGGGTAATGTGGGTAATTATGTTGTCTTGACGCTGGTGACTGGTTTGTTAGCCCATCTCTCCCGCCTAGGTGGGCAGACCCCACGGGATATAGCGGCGTCTGACCTCTCGCACCTTGCCGTTCATAGGTACCGCTCGGTCGATCTCCGGGAGAAGTTGCCGTGCATCGTTGGTTATTGATGACTCGGAGTTGGGCCGCAGGGTCCAGCGTAAACGCTTTAAAACCCTCGGCTGCCGTCATGTCGGCGCGATTTTAGGTCTACAGTCTTTTTTCGCTGTGTAGTTCTGATCTGACCCTACCTCGCGAGCTTGGGGCTAGTTATATTTCCTGTTCTTTCAATCTTGTTTCGGGCTGTAGAACCAAGTTTTTAATGCGAGAAGTCTTCAATACTCGATTCCTCCCTCTCGATTGCGTTCAAAATGAGTGACAAAATCCCCTCGTGGAATGTCGTCCACAAGCTAGAGAAGCGCCAGCTTCTCATTGGAATCAACTGCGTGGCTGGCCTGTCTATTTTGTTCTTCGGATACGACCAAGGAATGATGGCCGGTGTCAACAACGCAAAGGATTATATTGATCTCATGGGCTTCGGTCATACTAAGGTGGTGGACGGCGAGTTGACCCCGGTGGTCACAAATTCCTTGTTGCAAGGTGGGATCGTGTCGGTCTACTACCTGGGAACGCTTTTCGGCGCATTAATCGGTGGCTGGCTCGGAGACCGGACGGGAAGAATCAAAACTATTGCAGCGGGTTCTTTATGGGCAATTTTAGGCGCAGCCTTGCAGTGTTCGGCACAAAATTCCAATTGGATGATCTGCGGTAAGGGGTATATGGTTCGATACACCGGGGGTATGGACTAACTTTCGCAGCGCGTTTCGTTAATGGTATTGGAACTGGAATTTTGAATGCCATCGTCCCTGTCTGGGCTACCGAGACGGCTGAACATACTTCGCGCGGACAATTCATTGCTATTGAATTCACGCTGAACATCTTTGGTGTTGTATTGGCTTACTGGTTGGAGTTGTATGTACAATGCTTCGTTTTTGCGACATCCTTTCTAATGTTCGACAGTGGCCTTTCTTTCATCGACAACGGAGAGTCAGCCTTCCGCTGGAGATTCCCCATCGCATTCCAGATCGTCTTCCTCTTAGTCCTCTTGGCAGTTGTCTGGTTCTTCCCAGAATCACCTCGATGGCTCGTCAAAGTCGGCCGGGAGGACGAGGCACGCTATGTTCTCCAGCGTCTACGTGGATCCAGCGGAGAGGACCTCCTCCGAGCGGAAGCCGAGTTCCAGGATATTATGAGCATCGCCGAGCTGGAGCGGACAGTGAACCACGGCGACTCATATCTGTCTATGCTGGTTGGCTATAAATCCGGTGATCTTCATATCGGCCGTCGCGTACAGTTGGTCATTTGGCTACAGATCATGCAGGAATGGGTTGGTATCGCGGGAGTTACAGTTTATGCACCAACCATCTTTGGCATTGCTGGATTTGATTCGATGAAGAGTCAGTGGATTAGTGGTCTGAACAACATCTTCTACATGGTATGTTTGGCGTTGAAGCAAAGACCGAGTTGTGCTAATGTGCGTGTCCAGTTCGCTACTCTAGTGTGTGTCTTTACTCTCGACCGGATCGGTCGCCGGTGGACTTTGTATTGGGGGGCAGTTGTCCAAGGTATTGCCATGTTCCTTGCGGGAGGATTCTCTCGTCTCGCAATCGACAACAAGGCAGCCGGTGATATAGGCAAGGCATCCTCATATGGTGCGGCCGCAGCTTCCATGATTTTCATCTTCACCTCTGCATTCGGAGCTTCGTGGCTCACAGTCCCTTGGTACGAAACTCACACCTGATCGTTTTATTTGATGCTGATTCTTGGTTTCGCAGGATTTACCCGGCTGAAATCTTCCCCCTGGCCGTTCGTGCACGTGGAAATGCCTTTGGTGTCGTCGGATGGAGTATCGGAAATGGATGGCTGGTGAGTGAACGCCATTCGATGAATATAACGCCCATCTACTGACAGAACACTGAAAGACACTACTATGCCCCGTAATGTTCAATGCCATTGGCGAAAAGACACTGTACGTCTTTGCCGCCAGTAATGTCATCGCCATCCCCATGGTGTGGGCTCTATACCCAGAAAGCAACCAGCGCACACTAGAGGATATGGATCTCCTGTTTGCGGCTAAGACGCCCTGGACCTGGGATGCAGAGAAGACCTTTGCGCGCCTTAAGGAAGAGAGCCCAGGCATGGTCCAGACTCTCGGTCGCAAGGGCAGTGTGGTGGATTTGGAGACTGGAAAGCCTATCTCTGTTGGTGCTGCTGCAAGTATTGCGGCTTCTAAGACTGGTGATAATGCTGTAGGAGCGGAGCATGTAGATCATGCTTAGATTTGGGGTTGGGAGGAGTTGAAGATGTGCTATGTTTGGGCTTCTTGTGCCCAGTGACGTTTTGATGAAGACGAACTAATTAATGGATATCTGATTTAATCGGCATCTTCTTATGCAATTATATTCCCAGAGAAAAAAAAGTATGTACATGAAACAAATCATGAAGAGATCCAAAAGAATGGCCTAGACTATTAAAAAAAGAATATTGTTGACAGCCGGCGCTCTGATTGGTCACTTTATGAACAACGTCCATCAACCAGCAACTCGAGCTTCATAACCATTTGTTTCCTTTCACTATTTCTCCTTCTTCAAATATCCACGTCGAAACAAACCCCCGTATCACGTCTCATAGAACCAACAGCTACTCAAGTGGTAAGTACCCCAATCCCGACAGACGCGTCTCGCGTCGCATCGTTCCCGGCTAATTACAAATGAAGATCCTCGGGACAATATTATCCTCTCCACGAACTGCAAGAAACTCCAAGATTCTCAGAAAGGCCTCGAAATCAAAACTCAAGAGAATAGATCACCTAAAAAGATCTACCAAAAACCTCACGCAAGAGGGTGCGGGTACGGTACATAAGTCATGTCTTGCTCGACAGTACAGCCCACAGATCCGCAGACCCCAACACCAACCCCAGACAGCCAAGAGCCCAAACCCCAGAAAGCCCAGCAAGCTGCACTACCCACAGCGGAAACCAAAAAATATCTCCACCGCATATCCCTGCACCCAACGCTAACCCCCTACCGCCGGCGCGTGTATCGCACGCTCCTCTCCGTCCCGCCAGGTCGATGGACTACCTACTCAGCGATGGCGACGTACCTGGGCTCCAGCGCGCGGGCGGTCGGGAATGCAATGCGCAGTAACCCATTTGCGCCGGAAGTGCCGTGCCATCGGGTCCTTGCGGCGGATGGGTCGTTGGGTGGGTATAAGGGGGAGTGGAAGGTTGATGGACATAAGGCTGGTGGTGGGTTCTGTGAGGAGAAGAGGCTGAGGCTTGAGGAGGAGGGGGTTGCTTTTTTGGATGGGAAGGTTAGGGGGGTTTGTTTTAAGGAGTTTGTGGATTTGGGGGCTAAGTGAGGTTGGTTTATTTAATTGTGAGGGTTTTTTTTTGTGAAAAGAGGGCGTTTATTGGGGATCGTGAGGAGGCCGTTGTTTATAAATTGAGGTTGATATTTGAGATTACTGTGCTTATATCCGGAAAATTGATTTACGGAGTTTCCCGTCCCAATTTCCTAATTTAGGTAGCCCCGTTATGGATGCTTCAATGTTGAACGCTGTGGGTGGCTCCAATGGGGTAAGTATCACTGACAGCTCTTTGTCAGATAATTGTGATATAGACCAAGTTAGGTCAATTCTAAATGCTTAGAACCATTAACTAATTTCCGGTTGGCTCTGAGGGTTGCGGCTAGTTATAACGGCGTGTATTGCTGGGTAAACCATGTGCCTTGCAACGTGGGGTTGGTCTGTATATATGTAGCCTTCCATATCCATTCCAATGCCTAGTGCCTCCTTTTCTTCACCCTGGACCTATCTCCAGTTCCTCTTGCTTTTACAGAAATAAGCCCAAGTGCATGTGAAGGGAATACACGCCCAATGAAACACCAATGGTGAATACAAGCCCCACACCAACTATACAACAGCAGCCCCAGATACTTGCTCAAAATATATTAACCACCTCGAGGACAAATAGCCGACGAAGATGCGGCGCGACCAACATCTACTTCCGTAACAACCCCTGATACTCTACAAATCCATAGCCTCCGCCAACACAATACAGATCCCATTGACGGAGTAGCACCCATCGACCAGTGCCCTATACTACCGGGACATACCATGACCCATTGATGGCCACGGCACAGCATGGTACCACACGCGTATAGGCCTCGAAACCCGAGAGGGTGTGTAGAGATGGACCTTGCGGACACAACTTCCGCACCGTCGCGCAGAGATAAGAATTCTAAAACGGGTCTACGTCTTATGTCTACATCCCGGGACTAAGGTGCCGGTTTAAACCTCAGATTTGCAGCCGGTACACTCCCAAAACGGCATACGGTGCTACTGCCCAGGCCGGTGTATCTAGGTCTTGCATCTCACTTTGATAGTCCTAGTGGCTGATACATTTTCATATTGGGTGGTATTTTAGTGAGGGGTTGTGGTGCAGTTGAACGGGGGTTGGTGATAAAGGGCTGGGGTCTGGAGGGGTTCGGATGTTTATGTTTTAACAAGCCCCTGGTACCTGCATGTAAGGATTATTTTAGGCAGGGAATACTTACATCGTAAGTGGACTCCTACTAGACTTGGATGTCAAAGAGATTGGGGGCCAAAGTGAGGGCCAGCCTTTTTGGTGCTTTTTTTTTTTTACAGCAGGCGTTGTACAAAGGGAAAGGCTCGAGAGGCCAGAGATTTCAAGTTTAGAGTTTTTCTTTGTTTTTGATATTCAAGTTTTCTTTGTGTTCTATGAGGGATATTTGGTAGGGACGAGTTACGCCTAAATGCTGCAGCTATCTGCATACGGAATCTACAATCAACAATTGTGATATGGGATACAGGACCTACTTAGTCTGGTTAGTCTGTGTGACTGCAGCTGCAACACCCGTGTCTTGGGAATTTAAGGGGGAATGAGATAGGAAAAAAGCCGTCTAAGCCAATTGAGGAAAGTGGTATATCGTAATCCGTTGCCGTTCATTGAAACATTCCAACAATAACCCATCTAAGATCTAGAGTCTAGAACACATAAAAGTAATGAGCGATGAGCTCAAAACCCGAAACAGAATAAGGCGAAGAGGCAATGCGCGTCTTCTATACATGACCGGTCCATAACCGGACTGCGATCTAGATGAAACAAATGTAAAAATAGAAATAGGAATAAGCCAATCAGGAACAGTCGTAATATCGTAAGAGTGCCGAGAAGAATACTAGAAACACCAGCGAAGGTGAAAAGAACCATCATGAGATCTGTTTGGCGGAGCGCTTGCAGGAACCGCGCTTGGGCACATCCATGTGGTGATACGAGCGCAGGTGCTCGACGAGGTGGTCCTGACGTGGGAAGCCATTGCTACCCTTTCGCGAGCAGTGCTCGACTGGGCAGTTGCGGAAGACAGGGTAGTGGACGCTCGATTGGTGGCGCTTCAAGTCCGCGAAGCGGGTGAAGGCCTTGCCGCAGTGGTCGCAACCGAAGGGCTTGGCAGGCCTGAGGAGATATGTTAGCGGGTTGATTCAATTGCGACTCTGGAGGCAGCTAGCTTACTTGGATGCAGGCACTGGCGACTCGGTACCGGACTCATATTCGCCAATGGGGTAGGATGGTAGAGTGATGTCTTCGGAGGGGAAGTTGAAGCTGCTGCTATAGCTACTGCTGTAGCTACTACCACAGCTGCTGGGTGCCCTCCGTGACAGGACGGATCGGTCAAAGACTGGGTAGTCTTGTGGTACCTGGTAGGTGTAGGGCGAGCTGGTGATGTTGTAGAGCTCTGGGGCAACCTCTGGCATGGGGAAGGGACTGGTTGCATCGACGTCACAGAGGGAATCGTAGACGGGCTGGCTACCGTAGAAGAAGAAGTCCATGCTCCCTGGTGAAGAGGAGTAGGAAGAGTAAGAGTCTGGGTAGTTGAATTGCGACTGCATGTCGATTGGCGCAGATGCGAAGCGTTGGTTTGGTAGGGGAATTGGAATGGCGGTCTTAGAGAGAGAGAGAGAGAGAGTTAGCCTAGAATACGTTCATGCAAGCTCAAAGTCACTTACCATTGTGGGAGTATGTCTAACTATTGAAATCTTGAAATTGGTTTGGCCAGGTATTTAAGAGGCAAAATGCAAAATAATTTCCCTAAGTAATCGAGGCATGCGGCCCTTTTATGTGCCCAACGTGAAACTCGAGGATCATAGAGCATGACCGGGGTTCGACACGGGACAGCACGGGCTAGACTATGAGTGGCTATGAAAGGACACTAAACAGTTCTAGAAATCTACTAGAAAACTACTTTGAAGCAGACTGGACAAAACCACTCAGCCTCCCCGCCTCCTCGCATGCGGGAATTTGTTTTGTATGCAATTCGCGGATCTTTGCTGACGGCGAATATTCCACGGCCCTTCTAGCGTACCCACCCCTCATTGTCCTCCACATCCTGGATAGTTTCAACGATGATGATTGGAGGTTGATCAGGTGTGTCGAGGTGAGGCCAGTTGCGATAAGCAGCGGTCAGACTTTCGGTGCCCAGTGTGTTCCCCCTCACGGTGATCTTCTTATGATTGGCCCTTGACTATTCTGTGTGGCTTCTAGTGTCGTTCTAGCGTGCCAAGAGCTCGTGTCTGACGGCCGGCCCCCGTTTTTTTGTGTGTTCGTCATATGCAATGCATTGCTGTTTCATGTGCTAGAGAGGAATGGGGAATTCCAGGATTGGGGACCTCGAAGCTTGCCGTCCGGTGAAATCCAGATCCAGGTCCAGGTCCAGGTCCAGGTTAAGGGGAAGGTCAAGCTGAACGTTCCGGGCATTTCCCCCAAACCCATTGACGTATTTCCCGGCACAATCTTGCCGATTATATTATCAAATGATTCGCACGATCCAGCCTTGCGAACCCGAGTATCTCCAGACCCATTCCCACATTTCCCAAACCTCTCCAATCCGGGGTCAGAGATCGACCGATGTCGCGCACAGCCCCTGACGACATAGAGACTAGTGTAGCGTTCGCTAATACCCCTTCTAGAAAGAAAAATCCCGCACTTTTCAAAGTACATTCCATGTTAGCGTCTAGCTGAAAGAGGGTGTAACCCGTACTGACGAGTTAGCGTTCTCTGACGTTGCACGTCGCTGTGCATTGAAAGTGATGCGATTCGTCACATGTCGCTTTTTCTTTTTTATTACTTCGGGGATATCTGGGATTTGTTCCGGGCCGTAGACTTGAAGTGTTGGCCGTGAATTGCCCCAGTTTCCCAGTTTCCAGGTTTCCTTTATTTTTATTTTATTTCTGCATCTCTTCTGCATCCTAGAAACCTTAGACCAGAGCTACGTGTACGCACAACCCCGGATCAGTACTTATGGTACTTCCCAGAGCCTAGCCCAGGTACCGGCAAGGCAGACTGACGTAAAAGCATATCAGCTTTAGGCTGCTTAGCAGCTTGGCTTAGCTAGGCTTAGTTACTTGGTATGATGTCAAGTTTGCTTGACTTAAGGATTCATTGTATTTGTTCGAACAATTGATAACCTTGCAAATAACACGAAACTCCCGTAATCACCGAGGCCCATTCATTGCACTCATGCCAGTCCTGCGATAGTAAAAAAGAAAAACAACCCACCGAGACAGATTTCAGACGTTCCCGCCATAGCCTCAAACATCCAGTCTATTGAATCATAAGCGTCGAGTCACCGGATATTGCGAACAAATCCACTTAAAAAATCATCTGCACTTGGAGACGCAGGTGGGTTGCTCATGGGTAGAAAAAAGAGACGCCTCATAACTCATCCTCGAGGTATTTGTACACAAACTTGAAATCAGCCTTGCGCCGATTCATCCTGTTGACATTATTCGTAAGTGGTGAGCTCGTAAAGTGGGGCGCAAAAACGCAAACAGTCGGAATATTTTAAACTGACCATGTGCTTTCGTAGTCGAAGAAGCGATAGGTGCCTTGCTCAAACTCCTCGGTGATGTTCTTGGGCTCCTCGTGGCGCTGGAACCAGGTTTGATACTGCTTATGGAAACGCCAACTCTGATTTCGGAGTGCCTTGGCTGCCAGATATTGCTGGTACGTCCCTTGGCGGTAGTAGAAAAGGTAGAAGAGAGTATCAGTGTCGATTCTCCCGGTATCGTACAGTCGAGGGTCATCGAATATGGATAGAGGTTCCTGCGGATAGTAGAGTGCCGTACTATAGGGGTTCTGCGGCTTGTAGTGACGCGGTTTTTCAGCATCGCCGGCCTCCGGGCATGTCGTTAATGAGGTAGCGAGAAGGCGCTGAACTGACGGCGATGGATTGGCCGATGCACGCGACTTCGTCACCTCAAATGACTGGACCAGGTCCTGGAGACCCGGGGGTAGGTGATATACCGATTCATCACTCTCGGTTTCTTCTGTTTCTGGTTTGCCATTCGTGGATGCCTCCGCCTTTGCGGGCGCCGGTGATGAGACAGTTGCAGTCGCAGGGACCTTCGGCCGCACAGGCTCAGCAAGCTCTTCAGTAACGGCTGCTACAGTAGGTGGAATTATTGACTTGGTAACAGGTAGTGCTGACGCCACACTAGGCGAAGCAGTAGAGGACTTGGAGGGCAATGCCACGGACAGAGCCGGGCTGAACCCTGGTGGAGGGGGAAGAGGAAGAATGCCAACCCCACTCTTGTCACTTGCTGCGGCTGCGGCTGCAGCGGATGCATACTTGAGGGTTTCACCAGGGGGGCGGGTCGGGAGGGGAGCGGGCTTCATGCCTGGAGTGGCACTCGATGAAGCAGAAGGGTGGAGGGTAGCAAGAACAGGTAAAGGCGATTTCATCTGTGTTGACGGTCTTCGAACTGCTGGCGCTTCTTGCTTGGCCTTTGGCTTCGGTTCTGGCTCTTCATCTTGAATTGATTGAGCGTCTTGTGATGATACACGATCACCTTCGCCGCCCATGCCGAATTGTGCCTCGACCTCATCGCCGATGTTCAGATCATCGTACAGTGTTTCATCCTCACCGGAGTAATCCGGACTGCCTCCTTCCTCGACGTAATATTTGATACTTTCCTTGAGATCTTGTACCGCTCCCACGTCCAAGTTGCCATTCTGTAACGAGCGATTGAGGAACTCCAACTTGTTTACGTGCCATTTATGTCGTTCCGTAACGTGGGAGATGTCGGCCATTCGATCCGCCTTCTTCGTATCCTTCTTGCCTTTCTTCATTTGTGCATGAAGTGTTTCCTCCTCTGCCTCCAGGGCCTCGATCTTCAGTTGTAGCTCGTCAACCATAGTAGAGAGGAACTCGCAACACTCGACTCTTTCCTTCTCCTTTGGATCAAGTCGCGAAGCTGCCGATAGACCTTCCTTGGAATATGCTTTCGTCTTCATCTCTTTTTCGACAGCTTTGAATTGTTCCATGCACTACCGGCGGTGTTAGCTTGCCGTCCCTTGAAGGAACCATCAACCCTGTGGACCAAGTTAAAAAATCCAAACGCACCACTTCAATGGCCTTCCGCTGCTCCATGAGAGGAGCTTTATCCTTGACCTCATTTCCGGCGGCCCATGATTTGATCTGATCACGGAACCTTTGGAGCTTCTTGATCTCGCGCTTAAGGTGGTCTTCGAGCTTGTCTCGTTGCGTGGGATTTGTAGCCTGGCGGATCTTCTCGTAAATGCCTTCGAACGTTTGTATCCCTTCAGAGACCTTCTTGAAGGTTTTATCAATTTCCTGTTGTGTTTTTCGGGCTGCCATTGTGAACTCGTTGGTGGATTGTGCCGTCCACTGGCGTCGGGAATAATGCGGTCGGAAGGGTGTGGTGATGCGCTTTCGACCGAAATGGTCACAAGAGCACAATGGAGGGGGTTTATGTAGGAGAAATTGTTAAAAGTGCTTGTTTGACAGCAAGAAGGGCGGAAAGTCGGAAGTCCATGGAATGCCTCTCCGCGTTTGAGTGGAAAGCTTCGTGGATGCTCTAATAGGTAGGCGGTCACAGGCGGAGGCGAACGTGAGGGCGCGAAGGGGGGGGTCGTGGCTTTACATACACAAGTCACCCACGTCTTTTGATTTCTCAGTTCAAAAGACAATCTCTGAAGAATCAAGTCGCACGGACAAAGCGAGTTAAACGAGCTCATTTGGGTAATACCAAGCACGCTTAGAGCCAGCGCTATCACCAGCCTTATCTAGTCTACACCGCAGGTGTGTACCCCGGGTTCACTCAGCTGTTTTTTATTTTGACAAGATACTAAAGGTCTATAGACCACAAAAATGAAACGTTAGGACTCTCAATCTGCCTTATATACCAAAATCAGCTAATTTGGTTCAGTTGTTATCCAAAGAGTGAAGTCGGCATCCGTGACAGTCGATTCGGAGTTGGTTTCCTCTATTGGCAAGGGCCTTCTTGTATTTGCTGGCATTGGCAAAGAGGATACCGAGAAAGATGCCGAGAACCTTGTGAACAAGGTGTTGAAGGCCAAGTTCTGGCCCGATGAGAATGGGACACAAGTAAGGCACATTGCTTTTATGTGAGATCGGCAATTGACACCATCACAGTGGAAAAAGAACGTCAAGGAAATTGAAGGAGAAGTACTATGTGGTATGATTCTCCGTCTTGCTACCTGGAACTTCCCTGAATAATACTGATGGTTATCTGGTCTAGTCTCTCAATTCACCCTCTATGCGAAAATGAAGAAAGGCAACAAACCCGACTTCCACGATGCAGCCAGTCCTGATACTGCACGCAAAATTTATGACTTCTTCTATGACAAGATGGGGGAAGGTTATACCCCAGACCGGGTCAAGAATGGTGTCTTCCAGGCCATGATGGATGTTGAACTGAAGAACGACGGGCCGGTGGGTGTAGACTACTGCAGCGAGGACGCGGTGGTACATTTTGCCTTCCCGGCTCCTTTCCTCGCGTCTATTGATTCTATACTGACTGGTCTTATTTCTAGGTCACGATCGAAATCAGTACCAATCTCCCCAAAAAGGAACCCAAGGAGCAGAAAAATGGAGACAAAAGTGATGAACAGGACATTAAGGGATCTTTTGAATTCCAAATTCCTCCTGAATTGCTGCAGTGAAGAAAAGAGAGAAATAGATATTAGAGTAATGCCTCCTACCTACATAGATGTTAGCAGATACCCCCAATACAGCTTCTACACAATTCCGTCACATAGTTGGGGTTCCGGCAATGGAAGCTTCCTGAACCACAAGCGCCGCACTCCCCCACAACTACTTCTTTTCTCCTCCACTTCTCTGCCATAGCAACTTCAATTCTTTCTCTTAATCTTTTCCACTTTTAAGATTTCTATCCCTAAATTCCACAGTCATGGCGACAGCTCAGCGTACGTTCAGTGCGGGGTTCAGCTGCCCGCAGAATGGAAGAATTGAGTCGAGTTACTGACAAGCTTGTAGGCTCCCGTGTCTTCTTTGACATTCAAATCGGTGATAGCAAGCCTAACCGGGTTATATTCGAGCTGGTAAGTTGCCCGCACTCTCTATATGCCGAGTCTGAATTGATCTAACATCTGGGCCTCACACAGTTCAACGATGGTACGGCATGATTTTCTCCCTTGACAAATTTGAACATGGCTGACAACAGCAACAGTTGTCCCCAAGACTGCGGACAACTTCCGAGCCTTGTGTACCGGCGAGAAGGGCATTGGCACCCAGGGCAAGGAATTAACCTACAAAGGCACGTCTCCAATACCCCGCTCTCATAGCGTTGACGCCTGCTAACCGCGGTGTTCCGATTTAGGCTCAATTTTCCACCGTGTGATCAAGCAGTTCATGATCCAGGGAGGTGACTTCACTGCATTCAACGGCACCGGCGGCGAGTCGATTTACGGCGAAAAGTTCCCCGACGAGAACTTCGACCTCAAGCATGACCGTCCCTTCCTGCTCTCCATGGCTAACTCCGGCCCCGGCACCAACGGCAGTCAATTCTTCGTTACCACCGTTCCTACTCCCCATCTCGATGGCAAGCACGTCGTGTTCGGTGAGGTCATCAACGGCAAGAGTGTGATTCGCAAGATCGAGAACATGAAGACTCAGTCCGACAAGCCTGTCCAGGACGTCACTGTGGTGGACTGCGGCGAGCTCTCCGGCGAGGATTACGAGAACGCGACCAAGCGCCAACAGGATGCGACAGGCGACCCATACGAGGACTTCACCGAGGACCACCAGGGCGAGCAGCTTACTGCGCCTCTTTGCTTCAAGATCGCTTCCGACCTCAAGGGTTTCGGTAACACTGCCTTCAAGAGTGGTGATCTCAACCTGGGTCTCGACAAGTACCAGAAGGGTCTGCGCTATTTGAACGAGTTCCCCGAGCCCGATGAGAATGATCCCAAGGAGCTGGGCGAGCAGATGAAAGCCCTCCGCTTCACCCTGCACTCCAACTCTTCCCTGCTCGGCAACAAGCTCCAGAAGTTCCAGCAGGCTCAGAACTGGGCCACTTATGCCCTCCAAGTCGCCGATGCTGCCAAGGCTAAGGATGCCGATAGGGCTAAGGCCTACTACCGCCGTGCTGTTGCTCACGAGGGTTTGAAGGAGGAGGATTCCGCGCTGAAGGATCTGCAGGAGGCAACGAAGTTGGCTCCTGGCGATGCTGGTATCATCAACGAGATCGCCAAGGTCAAGCAGACCGTCAAGAACCGGGAGGCCAAGGAAAAGGCCGCTGCCAAGAAGTTCTTCTCTTGAACGGTCTGAAATTGATTCTTTTTCACATTTCTTTTGTTCCATCACGATTCACGACGTGGTGTCCTCGTTCACCAATGACCCATGATGTATGATATCACATCATTCAGGATTCAGGCAATTTGCCTTGTTCTTTGTGCGAAGTCCATACTGTAATCTCTTCTACATGGTAAACTCCTGTGGCACAGCGTGTCAGGCTTAAGGTGCATTTACCCAAATCATAAGGGAGGGCATTGCCTCCAAAAAGTACTAAATTATATATGTCAAGTATAACCCGTTAAAGGATTCATATCTTCTAGAAAATCAAAGTATTACAACAAGGTAGGGCTAGGCGACATGCTATGCTGATAAGCATTGGGCTGTGTTTCAGAATATATTGCTAGTGCTTCAGACTTGTGGATCATATATTTTGAATTACATATCAAGAATATCGATTGAAATATCCAAATAAAGTGAACATCGAAATGTTAAGCTTGTCCCTTCCAGTCCCAAGCGCCCTACTTTGTGACAAAAGCGCAAGCTCCCATCTCCTTTTTAACCACATCCGCCTCAGGTCGAATATCGAAGTCAAAGATATCCATTGGCACCGAAAGCGTGGTACAGGCATTTGGAATGTCCACAATACCGGCAATATGCCCCTGCACCGGCGCACAGCTGAGCAGCAAATATATCTGGTAATCACTATAGCCATAGCGTCGGAGATACTCAATAACGCGGAGACAGGTCTGTCTATAAGCGACAGTTGCATCCAGGAAATGTTGCTTGCCATTCTCATCGACCGAGAATCCCTCGAACGTTAGGTATCGCCCAGGTCCAAACTGCGGCTCTACGGGTCCTGCATGGAAGATTGGTGACTTCATGTCTAGTTTCGCCATGCCGTTCTTGATGACTGAGAACTTCAATGTGATGACACCGGCCATCTCAATGGCTCCGCAGAATGAGATCTCGCCGTCGCCTTGCGAGAAGTGCAGATCTCCGACAGAGAACTTGGCGCCGGGGACGTGGACGGGGAGGTATACTTTCGATCCGCGGGAGAGGTTCTTGATGTCGCAATTACCCCCGTGCTCGGGGCGGCCCTAGTAAACATATGAGCTTATGGTGCAGTTTCGTTGTATATGATAATATCTCACTGGGATAGTCCGAGCACCCTCTTTGGCGATTTTGCTCTTCACCTCATCGGTAGCAGTGCCAGAATGGGCATTCTGGGGATTAGGTGGCTGAGCGACAATTTGATCAGCAACAGTATTCGCTGCAATAAGCTCCCCCTCTCGACGATTCCATTCGGCTAGAACTTCAGCCGATGGAGCACATCCCATGATTCCAGGGTGGATTAGTCCCGCAAACCGAACATGCGGGATATGTCGAGAGGAGCAGAAGATTCCTTCAAAGTCCCAGATTGCCTTGGCTCTGTGAGACCGGTTAGCACCGATATATGTCATGAAATTATGATATGAATATTGACATACGCCTCGGGATACAGCTGATCTAGGAACCCCCCTCCATTCTCTTTGTGGAAGATACCGGTGAATCCCCACGGCTGCTCTTCGAATGGCTGGACGTCCTGAATCTCGACGACCAAGACATCGCCGGGCTCCGCAGTTTCGATGTCAAAGGGACCGGATAGGTAATGGATCTGGGTTAGGTCTACATTCTTGATATCGTCGGCCGAGTCATTGTTTCCGATTTGGCCTCCGGTCCAATCGAGACATTCGATCTTGACAACTTCGTTGTTGGCGATTTTTCCATAGGCCGGAACTGGAGATTAAGGTGCAATTAGCATGCAGTCCTGTCAATGGGACCATGATCACGACTTGACATACCGTCTGGATGCCATCTGTTCTATCGGGGACTTAGCAATGTTTCACTCGAAGAATGTAACAACATACATGCAAACCGGACTGTTCACGCGCAGGCCTGTCGAGATCGACCTTTAGAGCAGTACGAATTCCCTTGATACCCATATTTAGTTGATTAATGCGGTTGAGGCAGTAGCTATGGAGAGTACAAATCTCGGGGGGAACCCCAAATATACCGATATGCTGGGCCCCCCTCATGATAACGGCTTACCCCGCAGACGGTATACGGGTATGAATAATAGTTACGGGAATTGGAGATCGGGCTTATCATCGCTTTATCTCGCATACCATCGGTTTGATAAGTCCCATTATGGCTTTGCCATAAGCCTTGTAGTGGAGCGTTGAAGTGTATTTTGTAAAGGCTCCTTCCAAAGATAACACATGGAATGGTAGTCTTGTATGTTAATAATACCTTGATGTGTATGCTTTTGTGCAATTTCCAAGGCTTTATCTAATTCTCGAATGAAACCCTTGCGGTGAAAGTCTCAATGCTGCCGCCTCTCAGGAAAACTTCTTTCCGGAGCCAGCGTCCTTGCCATCGTGCTCATCCGTATCGACATTGAGCTTGTCAAGATTGTCGAGAGACAAGCGCAAGAAATCATGTTTATTCTTCCAGGTCACCTGGCTTTCCGCAAAGTTCGCACTTTCAGCAGGAGGCGGAGGCGGGTCGGTGATCTTGGTGACAAGGTACGCCGTAGATGCCTCAGCAATGCCATACATGAGCACACCGATGTATGGGATGCGCAGAAGAACCGTGAAAGCGAAGGCAAACCCGAAGAGAACACCTTCTCGGTCACGGAACCACCGACGCTTTTGCTCGGGAGTGAACTTAATGCGCCAAAAGTAGGGTTCAAGCTAGAAGGGGTTAGGAGAATTCCCAAGTCCGAGAAGACAGGTGGACTTACAAGTTCACGCATTAGACTGCGCGAAGCAAAGTAGGTGTGGAGAAATGTGACAATGTAATGCTTCGGCAGAATCAAGCCTACGCCAAAAATGGCAGCTGCGGGGGTGGACCCGACATGGTTTCGGAATGTGTAGAAACTCACTGCGGGCATAACGAACCGACCGATGACCACAACCATCGAGAGAAGATAGATACCAAGCATCATGCCAATCTTCTTTGCATAGCGATTGAAGAATGACTTCAGTGCTTCGGGAAGTGGCCGAGAAACGCTGGAGCCGCCTTTGGCGGAGTACTGAACAAGATTGGGGTAGTATAGAGAGCGCAGGTGATGAGGATCTTCTGATTTATGTTTCTGGATGTATGTCATGTCCACCCATTGGATGGACTGCATGAAGCTAGTGAGATGGTCAGCGGACATTGTCAAGGAGTTTATTGCCGAGAGAAGTACATTTCATCCAGCGTGGGCGTCACATATCGCATCAGGGTCATGAGCAAGAATGGCACCTGGAGAACAGATTTGGACATAAATTCCAAGCCATTGAGAAGTTTGTCGTCCCAGACAGCTTCCTCAAGGTTGATCACCCATGATAAGATGTAGATGGAGAATTTCACGCTAAGAATCTAGAATTCACGTCAGGAGGAAAGGAAAACGAGCATAGGACAGTCTGGAAACATACTGGAATTTGAATGATCAATTGGATCACGATGCCGATGCCTATCGCGAGAGCTGCTTGGCGGAAATGATCGTACTTGAATAGTTCAGGGTTCGATAATGCACGAACAGCTGCAAACCTCGGTTAGCAAGTACTCAAAGTACACTTTCATTCAGGGGATCATTCCAAGGCAAATGAGAAATGAGAATAGGTGGCTGGCCAAATTCTGTGCAAGGAGCTCCTTGATAAAAGTCTTGGCAAAAGCCGACTCCGACGTTATACAGCTCTGACATTGATAGAATTTCTTGTGCAGCCAGAAAGCGCCTAGATATTTCAACCAGCCCCTCTGAATGGTCGAGAAATAGCAACAAAACACATAGGGTGACATACTTCCTACCACTGTGAGCTGGAAGCCGCGGATCACCGCATTTGGCTCGAAGTTCGACATTGTGGCTTTTATGGCTGTTCAGGATCCAAGTAGATACCACTGCGAAGAACGCTAAAGGTGTCGAAATAACTAAGGAGCTAGCAATGCATTCTTGAAAGTGAAAGTGAAATAACTGTGGATGCCTGGCCTTCATTGAAAGCTGCGTCATGGTCACCTGATGCAGGCCTGAGGCAACAGTGCATCTCCCCGCGCATCATTGCGGATAAGCCCCGTACCCTGCGTTTCCTGCATTGGATACCCTGGCTTCTTGCAGTATCTCGTACAAACATGTCTCTACATTAATTTCTTTACATACTCTCCTATATCTTTCATCGCATTCATGAACCATGCCCGAGTCTCCAAGTGAGCTAGGTCAGATACAATCCCTCCGCCGTTCTCTCACCCTTCCCACCAAGTTAAATCCACTCGCGCAACGCCGTTCGAGCGTGCCGAATACCCCCGAACATGTAATTTTCTATCACCCATCTGCGAAAATTGTGCATTTCTCCCCACGAGCGCTCGCCCCTATTCCGTCCAGTTCTGCGCCGTCCGACTTTGACTACCCGGTCGACACCATCGAAACACTCCCTTGGCGCTCTGCGACTGAAAGAACGGTCGCAACAGCGCCACTAAGGCTAGAGAAGGTCCATGGCTCAACCGCATTCTTGAAATGTGGAAATGTTGTCCATGCGATTCTGAAAAACTCCCAGTGTTGGTGTGTTGATGGGGTCTCGAAATTTGTTTTACGCATTCGCCCTCTTACATACTATCGCATTGAATTACCATATGAGACGGAAGACGACCGGAGTTTGGTGCAGGATTTAAAGATCGCCTTGCCAACAGTACTTCGGTATGAGGTCACGCCATGTCCTTTCAAACGTGCTTTCAGTGTCGAGCTCCCGAACGATGCGATGGCACCTCGGCGCAAAAAGGCCTGGCAACCTAAAGACCGGAAAGAAAATGTACCGACTGTATTAGAACCTCCGCAAGAGACACCGTCGCCCTCTTCGGTCAGGTCGGATTGGGTCGATTCCGCAAGCACTGGAGACGATACCGACGGAAACCTAACCGATGACAGTTGTTTTACTTCAAACAAAGCGAACAGTACAAATCTGGAGGCGATTCCCGATGACCAGGAACCCTCTTCTGCTGAGGCTTTGAGTCCTTCCCCATACCTTGGGCCTCCTAGGCGCTCGGTGACCGAAATGCCACAAACCTTTACTAGCTTGCTTGCAAAGTTTGAGGCCACAGCAGTTGCAGAGGATAACCATGACTTTGAACCTGCGCCCAGCTCAGACTCCGCACCCAGTACCGATGCTGCACTTCAAATTGATCAGGAGGTCAAGGTTGCAGACCAACTTGAATCCGAGATTCTGGCCGACGGTGGAGTTGAAGCCGGGCATGAATCCACAGCCGCATTAAACTCTGAATTTAAAGCCGAAGCGCAGCTTGAATCCAAGCCTGTATCTGGACCAGAAATTATATCACAAGCCGAACCGTCCAGCAAAGCTGCAGCTGAAGCGGAAGCCGTCATTTCAGTCGAGACTGACGCGGTGATGGCGGTTGGAAATTCAAAGGAAATTGTATTCTGTGCTGAACCTACCAGTGCAGTTGAAGCCGAGGCAATAGTGGAAGGCGGTTTTATGGATGCCGAAGAAGTTGAACCCGTTCAACCCGCTGCCGAGCCCACACAGGAGGTTGACAATGATGCCTCCTTTTCGTCCAGTCTCGAGTCATTCCATTCTGCTGAGCCTCAATCGCCAGATTCAGTCTCTACTCATCCTACATCTGTGGGAGGCCATGATCTGCCAGAACCAACATATATGTCAGATCTTTCGAGCACAAAACATATCGTTTCTGAATTGGAACCAGCGTCAGCGGATCCTTGTAAGACGCCACAGCCCCAAACACTCAATATTCCTCAAAGCGACGACGTTCCAAAGCCGACCAGCGCGCCTACTCCTCCATTAATGCATAGTACAAGTTCGAATAATCTACCAAGGCGCTTCGCCGATGCGTTCTCGGATACCTCACCCTCAATGGCTCCTACAAGCAATGCGAACTCACCCATTCGTTTTCCCGATGCATCTTCGAACACGCAAATGCGCCCGCACCTTCACGCCAAGACCCGTGCATTGAACCCTGATTTTGACCACATGAGTGCCGAGTTCCGGCGCCGGTCAAAAGCCACAAGAGAGCGTGACGTTTCTCCTATGCCTCATTCCTCGGCATTGTACCAACCTTCTGGTGATGATGGCTCATCGTTCATTTCCAAAGCTATCACCCTAGTTTTGATTCCCCCAGCCTATCTTTTCATCATTCTCCTTCATATCGCTGCGCGCATTGTCATCAACCCGACTACCCACCCAACTATCAACTCCACACCAAGTGAGCCACATTCTCATTCCCACCGAGCGAAGAAGGATCCAGCCACAGAGGATGATTTCAGCTTTCCACTGGAACCTCAAACTTCTTCGGAATATGAGGATTCTGAAATCTTCAGGAAACTCGACCCTTGGGATCTGGACTAGTCGGATGGTTGAAATGCCCACCTTTTAATTATCTTACCCTTTTCACTTCTTCATCTGGATCTTCGCCCCCATCTTACGGTCGATTTAATGCTTACTCTTTGTATTCCCCTTCCCTACACAGACCATCTTAATGTTTTACTTGTCATGATATTCGGGACTGATTTGCACGACTTATGGGTGCACATATGGCATGGTTTGTATTCCACTGAATTTCTGTATTCTAGCGTTGCATGTATTATTGAGAAAATCCGGGGGTCATATCAGCAACGAATAATTAATTGATACAAATGCGTTCTTCAATCTCCAGGCTATTATATATGGCCTGAACACAAAGATTTATGCAGCCCCAATTGGTCCGCATAACTTGACGAAAGATATTAGAAATACAACCCACAAATAGAGGCATGTCCAACTGTAATGCTAAAAGCTGTTCATTTATTTGCCCGTCCCACAGGACTCGTATAGATAAACACAGCGCCCGTGGGCCACAAGCGTAGGGGAATATGTACACTTGGTAGGAAGCTCGCATTGAAAAACTGAGAACAAGAAGCCACAACCACCATCGAACGCCAGCTAATGCATGAGAAAACGAGGCCATCAAACACATCGCGTGTCAGGTCCGAGCCGAGTACACAAAGACGATGGTGCCATCTGGGAAATAGACCTAAGAGCAAATCTATGCTTTTGTGACCTTAGCAGCTCCACCCTTGGTCTTAGCCTTGCGGGCTCGGCGATCTCTCTTCTTCAACCCCGACATTCCTGTCTTGCAGACCTCGGCATAGCGAACGTAAAACGCCTCAATATCATCAGGACTGACGATAGTCGAGAGCTTGACTTTCTGAGACTTGTTCTTTGCAATCCTGGTTTCCTTGCTTTCATTCTTGAGGTTCGGCGTATTGGTGTTTCCATCAGTGGCTCGGATGAGGATAGATGGTTGGGAGTTTGTGGTAGTGGCACCGGGCACATTGACCAGAGCTTTCTGAGTGAGATTTACCGAGCCGTGGACTTGTTGAGAGGTTTTGGAGAGCAGTTCGGCAAGAGATTTGAAGAACTAAAGGTGATTGGTGTTAGTGATATAGCTTAGAACTGGTGATCGTGGTCGCATGTGCGGAGGTATAGCGGTCAGGTAAGACCGATATCAATATTTACCTCCTCGTGTCCCAAATGTGGGGCCATATTTGAAGACCTTTGTGTGAGGCGCGCGATAATTAAGAGATCCGAATGCTGGAGCAGATGATCAATGCAATTGACAGCTGGGAACACCTAACAGTGGGGGATAAACTCCGCTGTGGGTGTCTCTCCGCCTTTGGTTTGGGGCGGCAGAAAAGTGAAAAAAGTTGTCGACCGCCCGGGGTACCTGATATTGAGGACCGACATTTGAACTCTCAAAAGAGCAGACAAAATATCTCAGAGGAACAAGATGCCTCCCCGCCCTCGGCATAATACGACAGCCTTGCCTCGTGATCTCCGATCCGAGCTCGGAATCCGAGATGTCTACGGTGACAAGAAGCGTCGCCTGAACGGACCTGCCACGCGCAAAGAACGCCGCCAAAATGAGCGTACGCAAAAGAAATCCCGACATGCAGCCCCGCCGAACAAGAAGACCTTCGAGCGTCCACAGCAGCGGTCTCAGCAAAAGCCTCAACAGCGGGCTCAGCATGACAGCGATGAGGAAATTGGGGACGAGGATATTGACCTCAACTCAGACGAAATGGATCTCGACGAGGGACCCAGTGCGCCGCAGGCCGAGTCTAAATCTACAAAAGAGGCCACGAAGAAGCCCAAATCGATCCTGAAGAAAGCAGCGGTTCAACAAGACTCCGAGTCTGAGTCTGAATCCGAGTTTGGTTTCGGCTCAGAAATCGACCTCGATGAGGACGAAGATGAGGATGAAGATAAAGATGATGAGTCGGATGACGAGTCAGAAGACGAGTCAGAAGACGATGCCTACGAGGAAGAACCCAAAGAAACTGAGGCCCACATCCCAGGATCGGTTAAGGCTAAGTTGGCGCAAGACGACGCCGAGATTGCTGCATTGGAGAAAAAGCTTGGCCTCAAGAAAGGAGGTAAATTATCAAAGGGCTTTGAGGAGGATGGACTAGAGGATTTGCTGGGCGACCTGGGTGGTGCCGGCGGTGATGCCTCAGAGGATGAGAGCAAAAAGCGCAAACGAGAAGCCGATGACTGGCTACGAAACAAGAGACTCAAGGCCAAGACCTTGCAAGCCCAACAACTCGAAAAAGATGACAGTGAAATGGATAGCGCCGAGGATCTCGACCTTGACGAGGAAATCTTTGGGGGCGATGATTCAGATGCCGAAGGCAGTGATTTCGACGGTTTCGACGAGACAGAGGGCAAAGAGCCAAAAAAGAAAGAAAATCCTTATATCGCCCCTGTCACGAAAGTCGAACCCACCGCTCAAAAGTACATTCCACCTTCATTACGAGGCCGCTCAGACTCGGAAAGCGAATCCCTCACACGTCTCAAGCGCCAGGCCCAGGGACATCTCAACAAGCTGTCTGAAGCCAATATGCTCTCTATTGTTGGCGAGTTCGAAAAGCTGTACCGCGATTACCCCCGCCAGCATGTCACATCTACTTTGGTCACTCTACTAATGGGCATGATCTGTGAGAGGGCTGCCCTTCAGGACACCTTCCTCATTTTGCATGCAGGTTTTATTGCGGCATTGTATAAGCTCATGGGAATGGACATTGGCGCGGAGATCATCCAAACGGTCGTTGAAACATTGGATGCTGATGGCGACGAGCGTGGAAAGTTCCAAGGAAAAGAAGCTACGAACTTGGTCTCTCTTCTCTCGCAACTTTACAACTTCCATGTCATCGGTTCTTCCTTGATGTTTGACTACGTTCGTCTTTTCGTGCAGGAGATCACGGAATCAAACACCGAACTCTTGCTCAAGGTCATTCGGAGTAAGTGATATACTCCACTCATATCACAACTCCTAGCCCTCTAACATATATACAGACTCTGGCCCCCAACTCCGACTCGATGACCCGTCTGCACTCAAGGATATCGTATTGCTCATTCAACCCGCCGTCGCAAAGGCTGGCGAGGATCGTCTCTCTGTTCGAACAAAGTTCATGATTGACCTAATCACGGATTTGAAGAACAACCGCTCGAAAGCTTCAGCCGCAGCCGGTGCAGGTATCACCACTGAACACATCACCAAAATGCGCAAGATCTTGGGTTCTTTGAACAACTCTCGGACGATCCGCGCATCCGAGCCTATTAACATCTCCCGCGACGATATCCACAACTCCTCCAAGAAGGGCAAGTGGTGGTTGGTCGGCGCAAGCTGGAAGGAAGATCCTCTTGTAACAGCACAGCGAGAAATGGCTGGTGTACAAACGATCCAACCCGAAGTCGCAGATGATGAAAGCGATGCCGAGCCTGACTTTGGAGTTCTTGCCCGAGCCCACCGCATGAACACTGACGTTCGTCGGTCGATCTTCGTTGCCATCATGTCTGCCAACGACTTCCAAGATGCGCATGTTCGGCTCATGAAGCTTCGTCTCAAGCGCGCCCAGGAGTATGAGATCCCTCGTGTCCTTCTACACTGTGCCATGGAGGAACAGGCCCACAACCCATATTATTCCCTGATTGCGCGTCGAATGTGCGGTGAGCAGGGTCGTCGCATGAAAATGTCGTTTATGTTTGCACTCTGGAATATGTTCAAGAAGATGGGCGAGCGAGGAGATATCGACGAGGATGAGGACAACGACTTCGATCCAGATGATGAGGAGAACGGTGTCAGCATGAAGTCCGTGGTCAACCTGGCCAAGATGTTCTGCACTCTCATTATGGACGGTAGCTTGACACTGAGTATTTTGAAGAATCTCAACTTCGCATACCTTCAGCCTAAGACCAAGACATTTGTCGAAGTCTTGATCATCAGTATCATTCAACAATCCCAAAAGTCCAAGACGAAGAAGAAGAAGTCCAAGAGCTCCACGCCAGATGAGCCTGAGAAGAACGAAGGGCCTTTGATGCAAATTTTCCTGCGTGTCAAGGAAACACCACACATTGCTAAGGGCCTTATCTATTTTGTGCGAAAGGTCGTCGCGAAGACTGATATTGTGTCCGATGAGGAACTCAAACTAGTTCGGTGGGGATGCAATGTGGCTGCGGCTGCCCTTAAGGCTGTGGCGGACTAAGGATTGCATTGGATTCATCTTGCAATTGCATATAGAATATACCCAAGTTGTTACGCTGCTCATGATTCGTTTATGTTCGATCCTTTTTCCAACCTTCAAAATCACCATGTCAGATGTTTGCTTGATTCGAATACGAGAAGGATTGAGTGGCACTTTGTACAAATCTAGCAAATATCTGGCGAATAATTTTGACTAATGTGTGAAGTTTAGGAACTGATGGCCTAACAGTTTGTTTCCAGCCAACATTCCAGGGTAAATGTCCTGTCTGATCAGCTTCTCACCATCCAATATATTCATCTATGTCTTCTTACGCGATTGTCACCAGAAAGATTAGACAAAATCTTTGGCACTTGGGAAAAGGAGTCGCTGAATAGGGAGATACTTGCTTTTTTGTATCTCCTCGAAGCAACGGAGTAGACAAAGAGTCACTAAAATTCCGAGCTCGGGTTCAAGACCCCCAAAGCATCTGCTATGGATTGAGGAATGTTGGCGATTGAGGTTTGGGAATTGATCACCTTACGCCGCATGTAGCTCCATATATTTTACACCAGCAAATTGAACGGTCTTTTTGTAGTTTCTCGGGACATAAATCATCAATCATGATACACAGAACCATATTAGGTACATGTATGGAGGTCTATGAATTATGATGGAATGAGGAAGATACACCTTTCTTTATATCAATATAAATTACAGTCACTCATAGAACTGTTTCAACGAGGTCCCATTCCATGGCTATGAGCCAGTCCTCTTTCGTCTCTGAGTGTTCGTCATTTTCAAATGGACCAGACTCCGACATGTGGCCAGAAACCCGACCAGTTGTTCGACTTTCGCACAAGTGATTCCCAAGCTCCAAACTCCAGTTGAGCCCTCTGTAAATCCCCACCACGTCCCCTTTCCGCAAATGGGATTCGATAGCAGCATCAGAATCGGATGGACTTTGACGAACAGCGGATTTAGATCGTGACGGTCCCATAACCATGATATTCAAGGTCGCATTGGGATTTTTCCCTTGCACATGATCTCCACTAAGCACTTCTGCTTGAAGAAAGACGAGAGAGCCACAGCCGCTCAGAGCTGACTGGCTGACATTGATGACTCGCGCGGTTAGGAAATACATCTTCAGCCTTTCCAGCGAGGCATCTGCCGTCTGCGAGTTTGGAGCTTGAGCCACGGGGGCCTTTGGAAACTGGTCACGTTTCGTCCCCATCTCCAAGATCCAGCCACGTACCTCAGCGGCCATTCCGCCAGGGATATAGTTGGATACACCAGCTCTGTTTCGACCACGACGACGAAGTGTGCGTGAGGAAGGAGAGAACGGCGCAGGGATATCCTCTGCATCGGGATTCGGCGACGGGGAGCGAGGCAAAACAAAAGCCGGTTTCCGTCTCTCAGGCGGCGATATTCCCGGTGTGTCTGGTTTAAATTTGGGTCCGGACTGGCCGCTGGGAGGCTTCGCCATTGAGGAAAGCATAAACCGAGGACGACCGCGGAACGGTGTTTTTATATCGCTTTGGGTTAGTGCGGCTGGTGCAAATGGACGTGCACTTGGTGCAGGAGTTCTTTGGGTACTCGTTTCCCATGCTGTAGTGCTTTGCCTGTTTTTATCGGGCAAGTCGATGGGATCGGCTGGAAGGTTCGCAGTTTCAGGTGATGATAGTATTGAATCAAGCTTTAGATTGCTTCGATTAAAGGGCGTTGTTCCCTCCACACGTCGCCGTTTATTCCCATCTCTGACCGGTGCAAACAGTGCGTCGAACTCAGCGTCTAGGATGCCCAGAGTCTCTGGTTCTTCAGGAGGAGTACTGTCTATGGCATCATCTGGTAGCTCATCTGCATCTCTCCCTCCGACTCGTATATGTGAAATATCTGCGCCATCGTCAGAGTCCTCAATCACGTCGCGTGGTTGGCGTGAGAGGGTAGCACTCGGGGTAGCAGGTGGATCATGCGCGACTTTACGCGTTGAAGATGGCCCATCGTCATCTATCACATCAAGATCGTCATCTTCCTTCTGTGTTGCACTTTGTGATAGCAGAAACCGAGGTGTGGGGGCGAATTGAGGGCCACTGCGGCGCGTGGATGGGTTGCGGCGGGAGAGGCGGAATGGTGATGGAGTCTGTGACCAGTTTCATTAGCCTGGAAATCGACAAATCACGTTGTAGACATACTGCCGGAAAAGGCATTTATCTGAAATGATCAGAAATCTGGAAAGAACACCATGCCGCTGCTTCAACGCATTCAGTTAGACGGACCTGTGAACTCGGCTCGCGTCGATGCTGATGGGCAAAATCGGCCATCGCGTAAATTAATTTGCGGCTCAACTACACATCGACACTACATTTTGGCGAGAAGAATTTTTCTAAAAGACATTCTGACAAGTACTCGAAGATGCTACCTATGAGCAGGTTCGATAAATCGAAAAATCCGAATTTTTAGACAAATCGAACGCTTATTTGCGTTCTAATTGCCATTATATATATTTCTCAAGATACGACCGTGCTCTTCACATATACAGTGATTATTTGATTGATATGATACACAAGCAGAATTATGAACGATATCACGATCGATTATCCTATACCTATCAAATGAAGCGACCCAGCAGCCGCAGTGATAATGCAGCGGATGCCCTAACCCCGAAACCCGGGACCAATACAAAATATCCCGGCTGGTTTGAGCCAAACCTATAAAATCTCCGAGGCAGTGAAGCGAATATTTGCTTGATCCGCTCTTGAGAGATGTATGTTAAAATATTTCTCTAGGGCCACCATGCGCTCCTCCTCAGAAGTAAAGCATTGCAACACCTCAGACGTTGCTCCAATACGCCGTTTCAGGGTATCATTGAATAGCGTCAAGTCTCCCACAATAGTCTCACACTCATCATCTAGAAGCATGCGTACACACACGACGTGAAAAGTGAACCAGCTCCCCCGGCTTTGACTCATATAGTAGTTGATGATTGTGAAATCTTCAGGAAGGAACTCGACCTCGGTGAAGCAGTAGGCGGGTGTCCATGTTTCGTCACCGTTGTTGATCTCATACTGCCACAGAGATTGACTCTTCAGCATTTGTTGAGTGATCGGTTCATAGATCAGCCGCCCGGCCTGTTCGCCCACGTTGTTGAATGTGAAACCATGCACTAATGGAATGGGCTGGTGTGGTCCGTTGGAGCCGAATCCCACATCTACGAGGTACTTCTGCTCGCCAATAGCAACAACATTGATCATGTGGTTCCTATAGTATGGTTAGTTGTTGACTAGCTGGGCAGGCAGATCCAATATTGAGTTTGAAGAGATGAGAGAGGACGGGGTTCATACCATCCTTGGTACTTGGGGCCATTCCAGTTCTTCGATGCTGACATAGGCTGTACGGCTTCGTTGACACGACCTCCAACTGAGATGGCATTGTATCCCAAACTCCGCAAGACGGTCCCGAACAGGGCATTGTTTTCCATGCAGTAGCCGCCCCGATTGGACTTGACATCCACAATTTTTGCATAAATACTCTGTGCATCTATGGGGATATTCCGGTGGACTGATTAATGGAGGCCAAGGTTTTCAAATGGCACAGCCGCTAGCTGGTACCGCTGTAATGCCTTCAAGAAATACAAGGCGGCTTGGTTGTCGATACTTGGGCCATTCTTAACTATAGGCGACTCGCGATACTTCCGAGGGAAGCTGATCCGGTCAAAATATTGGTTCAGTTGATCCGGCGAATAAGTTGGCCGGAGAAACCAATCTATGTCAGAGGACATGTTGATTCCCCGGGGAAGATTGAAGAAATGGTGAACGAAGGAGGCGTAGAGGCAGGTCCAAGCTGACAGATTAACAAGAATGTGAAGGCAATACAAATTGGAACAGCCAGTACTCTGAACGAGAGATACATTTGAGAGAAAGGGCCACATCACCTTAAATAGATGCCCTCCTTTGCTTATCTCCACGGTAAACATTCAATCGTCCAATCCCATTTGCAGGATAGCGGGAAAGTCTCGGAATAAATTGGGCATTAAACATATTAGAAACGGCTAATGCTTAGCGTGGGAGTAGAATTGTGCTTATGTATGACGTGGATGTGGAGTTGGAACTGCGCGCTTCACGATGCTTGATTATGTTCATTATGTACAGTACAGCACAACCGCCCAGTTTTTATGCAAGCTTAGAGCGACGGGGGGTAATATCCCTATACGAATAAAATAGCTTAGCTTCATACTTTTCAAGGACAAGGATGGTTGGAGGTGCCATGATAGAGAGTCTCATTTCTTTTGGCGTGTAGTCCGAAGGCCATATGTATACAAAAAAACGGAAATATCCGATATGCAAAAGAAAGCCGTGTCAAACGTATAAAAAATATACAATATAAAAAATAGTGCTTACATTTGCGAGAAGTATTCATCGAAATTATCCGCGGCGACCTTGGTGCAATCGAAGCCGTAGATCTCACGCTGCACATCGGCATCAGCCCACTTATCAGGCACCGGACCCTTGCCGGCGCGGAGGGCAGCGAACTGCTTGTCTCGTTCCTCCTTGGCAGCACCCTCACCCAAGTGCAGGGCACGACCAGAAGCGGTAGCCATCTCGACCAAAGCCTCGGCGCGGCTCTTGCGGACTTTCTCGTATACACGGAGAGCCTTGTTGATAGACTCGGGGGTGGTATCGGGGAGTTTGGAGAGAACAGCACCAAGAACGGCTCCATCTTCAATCGCCTGGGCAGCACCTTGAGCCAGGTGGGGCAGGGTAGGGTGGCAAGCATCACCAACCAAGGCGACGGAGTCGTGAACCCAAGTGGGGAGTGGCTCGTGCACGCGCAGCTTCCATTCGCAGACCTCGCCTTCGGGGACGTAGTTTAGCATGCGCTGTACCATGGGGCAGAAGTCGGAGAAGACGCCCATCATGGCAGGCTTGGAGCCTTTGGTGGTGTAGGTAGCGTTTGTGGCGGCTGCGAAGTTGGTGTCGGGCTGAGTGGTGGAGAGGTTGTAGATAGTGTTGTTGGAGACGGCGTAGGCAATAATATGACGCTTTGCACCAATCCAGCGGGTCACACGGTTGCTGTTTATGAGAGCCAAAAGCTCGGGATCGTCCTTGATCTGATCCTTGTGGATCATGATACGATAAGCGGCCTGTTGGGTGTCCTTGACACCAACATCGACACCCAATCGCTTCAGCATCTCCACGCGGGTGACACTCTTAATTCCATCCGCAGCGAGAAGTACATCACACTCGACCTTGAACGGAGTAGCTCCCTCGGCGCGGGGGTTAGCTGTGAATGATGGTCGGGGACCGAATGAGTCCACGTTATCTGCGTTGATTCCGAAATGGAACTTGATTGCGGAGTGTTGTTTGCAGCCATCGTATAGTCCATTGGCAAGTGATGCACGATGGCCAACCATGTGCTTATATCCATATGTCTTTTCAATGTACCGTAGATCCACATATGCGTGCTCAGTGTCCGTTGCGCCGTCTGAAACCATATATTAGATCGCATTTGTTTGATTGGTAAATCATAACCTACCTCGCACCGATGTGTCTTCAATATTCACGGCTTCGGCCTCAATACCCTTCCAGACACCGAGTCCATCCAAAACGCGGGCCATGTTGGGTGCTAATTGAATACCAGCGCCGACAAAACCGAGGTCGCTGGCATTTTCATAAACATCAATATTCTTGAATCCTTGCTGAGCCAGAGCCAGAGCAGAAGTCAAACCGCCCATACCCGCACCCAGAATGGCGATTTGTAAATCTTGAGGTGCTTTCGCCATTGTATCGGAGGTATGCGGAGAAGATGTATAGGTAATAGGTGTTGTCACAACAAGAAAGACGAAGATTCCAAATATGTCGAAAGAAAAATCGCACAAAATCGGACGAGGAATCTCTTTAAACCAAATCCCCAACGGTGCGCCCGAGAGATGCCATGTTTTCCATCTTCTTCATGGCGGAGTAAACCTTTCCCGCCTCTCCCACATTCTCCCCACATGTCGGTGTCAAGGGGGGTTGGAGGGGCTCGCATCGCCTGGGGACTTCATCATTCCCTGCTTGGACTTTATCCTGGGAGTTCGATCCCTTATGTATGTTCGGAGTACATCGATGTTGCAGCTGTGCAGGTTAAGGGATTTAGACCGCCTTGCCTTTTTCTCTTTGCTTTTTTCTTATACGAACTTATCCTGGATCTTGATGTGAAATTGTAGATTTTTATGTTCTCAGCTTCAAGTTCTCGATCACGTAAATCCGAAGCTTCCCCACAGCGTACGCTGATCTTGCGGAGAAAGTCTGGTTGCCGAGATTTCAAACTGCCGACACCATTTGCGAGACGGGTAATTCGTGCCATCTCCATCGGGCTTCAGACCTTATTCCATTGTAAATGAAGTCATCTGATAATGTTAAAGAATAATCATATCGGATCAAAAATTGCTCATTGAATCGCATCCAGGAATTGGAAATTCATTGTTTTCATTGTCAGAGACAAAAGGTGTCTATTACGAAGGGGCATAGCGCTCAGGGTCGTAACTAGTTATAACTACACCCATTTGATGCCTTAATGCCTGAGTGTGGCCTAAGTATAGACCACCCTTTTACACCTCTTCATACGGTTGTAAATCATTGTCCCATTCCGACACAAAATTAGCCCAGAGAAGGATCTATGACTCTTCTCTCACTTTCTTCTCACTTTTGTCTCACCTTTACTTCATTTTTACTTCACAATTTGACAAAAGTATGTCTTCCACTACATAACCCGTAGCAGAAATTCTGGCGGCAGGTTGCAGAATTTAACCCAAACTTTCAGACTAGCTCAAAAAGGAGTGCATGCGACCCTGAGCACTATGCCCCTTCGTAGTCTGTCAACATGGTAAGACACCTTGCTTCCATTCATTGTAAGATGAGGTAGGGGAATAAAAATGAATCGCTGACTGCTGGATTAGGGAAGCAATCTTCGCTGACCAAAGCTAATATAGGCAAGCCCCTGAATAAGGTCTGTTGTGTGCATATAAGAGATAAGAGACCTCGAGAAGGACAATCAGATGTGGATGCTAAACTAGAGCGCTGCAATTAAGCTTCTCCCATTCTCCTTCAATCTCACCCAGAAGACCCGGTTTTCCTTCCTTTGACGAAACTTGTTCTCCAATCATCCTCTTGATCCACCTTCACGACTACAAGTATGGAAGATACCAAGTAAGACATGATCCCCATTCCAGGTCAGCGTTTTGAGGATCACACACTCATACCAGTAACCAAAGCCCCCGCCCCGGAGGTCCACCGCCGAGCCGACAAACCATCCTCCCTCCGCCTCCAGGACAAGGTGATGATATGCTAATAGCACCTGGGCTATGGGCTGTCCATATTCAAAAACTACCGTTCAGAGTGGCCAGACAGGGCGAGATGCTGCAGGGGAGATATTTGAACATTTTGAATGCAATGTCCAATCAGCGAGAGCCGTGCCTGCGGCGTGGAATAAATTTGACCGCCCAGGAGTTCCAGAAACAGATGAACGACAGCCTGCCCCGCGTGGAAGCAGCATTGATGCAGGTGGTGGGTAATCAAAATGAGTTGGAGTGCACGAGGTGCCTAGAACTTATCGGCAAGTTCTCTCACTGTGTCTCGGTTCGCGGGATCGACGGCCTTTCAGCCTGCGCCAACTGCCATTGGGCAGAACGGGACCACCTTTGCCAATACATACGGAACCTTCCGACTCTTACTCAATCTACAGCTGGATTTGATCTCATGGACCCTCCCCAATCTTCCTCTTCAACCAACACTCAGCCAACCGCTCAGCACATGAATGAGCACATCCGGCTTCTGAATGGGCATATAAAGCTCATGCAAGAGCAGGTCAAGCTCTGTGATCAGGCCCAGCGTCTTGGGACTCAGCTGGAGCGACTCCGAAATGAACTGACTGCCACCAATACCGCCACTATCACAAACGAGCAACCAATGCAGCAAACCATTAATGAGATTTGTGCGTCTCAGCGTGAACTTTACCAGGGAATTAGACGCAGCATGATGCATATCCTGAACATGATGAATCATGACCGACAGACCTCACCCTCGTCTCCCTGATCAACAAAAGTCATGCTGAGTAAACTCAGATCGATCCGATCCCTTCTTATCTTCTATCTTCTTGTCCTGGGCTTATTCCTGAATGTGCCAGTCCCTTGTTTTCACCGTCTTTCTTGTCTCGAGTACTTTTGCCCCCCGCTTGCTCTGTAGCTGGGTAAAGTAACTACGTTTTATTCAATGGAAACTGTCAATTTGAATAAATCCTAGTGCATAGTATGGTATCATTGCCACTTTAAGTCTTCAATCAGTCAAGATAATGTTGAATGTTGTTACCGATGTATTGGAAAAAAGCTCACTCTACCCTCCGAATTTTAGATTGAAATAGTGACATAGCGCATCTCGTATTAACAAGACTCAGTTTCTGGCGCTTCGTGTGACATGGGAACCATTCAACCTGGGTTTGAAAGACGTACGCACATACAGAATTTCACAATCCAACCTTTGTCAAATTGTGGCTCAGTCAGTTCCCCCCACCCCTAAGAACCATTGCTCGTCTGTATGTTGACCACTACGCCATAGTTTACTTGGATATTGACCTATACGGGTTGATAGTTTCAAGGTCCCATAGCCGGTCCTCAGCTTATCTTTGGTATTATCGAATCACGAAATGGTGAATTAACACTACGAACCTCTCGAGTATGCTTATTTGGCAATTGACGGATCTCCTACCTATTTGTATACTAATCAGAGAAAACCTAATATTAGCCAAATTTGCTTTGACATTCGAGTTACTAAGTATGCAGGGCACCTATTATCCTATTGTGGTGACCTATAAGCACATTTCCTGGAATCGTACAAAGATCAAGGCCGCAACTTTGTTTGAACTTCTCTCAGTCCATCATAAATGGAGTGTATGTTTTGTTTGCACTGCTGTCACGTTATCTACATAGCCCTAGCTACTGACCGATACATACGAATGGTATATGAAAGAATAACCAACTGCGGGCCTTGTTCAGAAAACCATTGGGGTTTTAGGATTGGTTCCTCTGGAAAGAGAGTTGTTATAATTCTATCCAACAAATATCGATGTACTATCTCCTATCGAGCCTCCAAGAGCACACTTTCATGTGATTTAAAGGGGCCTAGACGGCTATGCTGCAGGAGAGACAATTTGTTAGAGTACCTCCATGAAATTCAAGCTTCCCAATCATTCGATCGCATCTTTACGTTAGGCAGTTTAATCCAGTCCTCTCCACCTTGCTCGATAGGTCAAGGTCATACACAGCTGAGACTATGTAGAATCCTTCGCGCGTCAAAAAAGCGTTGAACCTCGACCGATTCTAATAAATCCTATTTATCTCAAAATCTGTTAAACGGGCACTTGTGGTTATGACGTTTTGAATGATTCCATCGTAAATTGCTTGCTTGCTATCAAACTGAGCGATTGTTTGCTCAATTTCAGGGTATAAATACCCTGCTTTTTCATGGTGAATCAGGGTTTCTTCTTTCTCTCCCGCCAGTAGTTACAACATAAGTGAACGGAAAGTTCTTGTCCCCAATGTTTTCACACTCGCTATCGCTATTTCGCAATTTCATGCGGCCAACTTTTTGTTCTTAGGTGAGCAAGTGCACTCAACGCCACGCCACTTCAAAATATCTCCGGTCGCCCAAGCTAGTGAAATATAGCCATGTCCGAATCACAAATACGCTCATTTGACAATTCTCAATGGGAGGTCCTGATGGACTTTCATGACCGATACATTCAGCGTTTTGCGCGACGCATCCGTCCGCTGCAAGAATCAACATTTTACACCGTGGGTTACTGGAATATGCGAGCACTCCCCCGAGTCACAACTAGCCTGGCAAGCTTATGCGATATTCTCGGCTCAATTTTACGCCGGGTGGGTGCTTTGCAGGAGGAGTTTACAACCCTACAGATTGAAGAACAGGAAGATGCAGAAACCTTTGAGCAGGTGTGGGGAGAGTGGGACCCATGATATGAAGATTTGTTCTATTCTCAAATTTCCCATAGATTCTGCACTCAACTAACCACATCTCATTCTTTCGTGAACTTAGACCTGGTTCTCTCGGTCAATATCCCTTGACATGAGCTCATGAAGCTCAACCACAGCTGACTCCAATACAGTCGTCGTTGACGGGGGAAATTGCCGCCGCGGATTTCCTTCCTCCTCTCGCCCCTTGATTCCACTTCCGTGATTGACCTTGTAGCCGTAGAATCCATGACTCTGTGATTTAGTGGTCTTCGGCGTCAACATGGTGGTCGTCATCGGAGTCTTCTTGATTTACGAGTGAATTTGCTTCATCGTCGTCTTCCGATGGCTTGTTTGGTCCGAACGCAGCGTTCAGTGCAGGTTGTAACGCCCGTCGGTGCCACACCTCTCTTTCTTGTAAGCGTGCTCTTATCCCCATATCCCAGAGATAATCTATAAAGTTATCAAAAGTTCACGCACCCAGCGTGCAGATACATGCCCAACAGTATCCAGCGCCTCTAACTTTATCAACACTAAATTCAGATAACCGTTGATTTTACTACCTTCCTTTGTTACTCACGTATGAAATATCACTCAGGTAAGTTTACTTCATTTTGGCTTCAGGTATTGCTCAGTTCCTAATTGACGCAAACTTCCAGTATAAAATATTTAGGAAATAGTCTCACTCTGAGCGAAAATAAAAGCTGGGTTCCTTCTAGTCTCATACAACCCCTTCCCCTACTTTTTTTTTCCTTGCTAGGTTTTTCTTCTTTTCCTATCTTTTGGACGACCAATAAGAGTATCTCAAAACTACTTCGATTAACTGAGATTTTGACGGATACCCTACAACAATATTAGTGAGTTTACCACCCTTAAACGGGCACTTTATATCTGACTAAGACGACATTATTACCAAGGCTTACAAGCCCGCCCTTGCTATTTCACGCAGCCATCTTCTCATTATCAGGTTAGTAACCTCACCAAACGTCATCCAAAGATATCTCGGAAGATGCCGAAATATTTGAACAGATATGGGGAGACTTGGGATTTAAAGGGCTTCAACCGCTATCTAGGGGAATTACCTAGGGCGGGAATAATGAAAGCCAAAACCGGAGTTAGCTGTATTAAAACAAGTGTACTATGTAGTGCGTAATCCTGCTAATCATTATGTTCACATCCAACTCGGCTACCAGGCCCGAATCTCCACTAGCCATAACTGATCTCCTAGCGCCGGACTAAACTACCAAAAAGCGGATAGACACGAATGGGTGACGCGGCTTTAGTATATTTGTAGGCTTATACATGAACTGTGATTTTTTCGCCCAGCCCGATCTACGATCAGATAAAGATCTCCAAATCAGACCACTTTTTCACATTTTCTACCAAAGCTATCTCTCTTCCAGAATGCGACCACCGTTCCTCCCGCTATTCGGGGCGATAGGCTTATCAAACGCCCTCTCAACGGCTCCAACGAATGTGCCGAACAAAAATGAAAATTACATTTTCAACGTTATCCAAGACTCAATGCGCCAGTGGGGATCGTCGCTGCACCACAACGGCGTGTCGTTCTTCCTCGCGGGTGTTCCCGTCGGTACACAATTCTACCATGGAACATCCACGGCCAGCCCGGTGAATGGCACCGAGTGGTTGGCGTTTGAGCCCGAACATGCCATGGTCTTCGCCCGCCCGAGACGTGGCCCCCCGCCACACCTACCGCCCGACGATAATGATACCGAGCAACAGGAAGGCGGCCATAGGGAGCTGCGGAAGCGGAAACATCATGACACAGATGAGAAACATCATGGCCCGCCGGGTGACCACCTGCCGAAGGCACTTGACGAGAATGAGGCTGGGTATTTGCATACATACGTTGCAGCCAAGGATCTCCGCCTTCTGTACCTTGATGGTATGTCTGCTGCCAAGACATCGAAGGGCACGCTTGATGCCCAAGATGCGGTATTGTTCAACGGCTCGTTGGAAGATCCTCTGAGTGGGCGTGGGGGGAGAGCGAGCGCGCCAGGCTGGCCTGCGAGATGGCCGATAATGAATGGGAAGGTCGCATTGACGGTGTGCTGCGTATGGAAGCTGGCTTTGAGATTATCCTGTGCCACTTCGAGCGCGACCTAACTCCCGTGCGGATCACCCAGGTCAAGCAGCACTCTGAGGGACAACGTGGACCTAGGGGTAACCGTAAACATGGTGACCGAGATGGTCATCATAAAGAGGGCGCTGACAAGCAACACGATGGCCAGGGCCCAAAGAAAGAAGACGACGGAAAGCGACACGGGCCCGGTGGGCCAGGTGGTCCTGGAGGACCTCCCCACGGCGGACCTGAAAACGGACCTGACTCATCGCGGTGGATGCGCGCAATCACCGCACGCTACAACGGAATCGGTGGAAACCGTGTTTCGCTGAACTTCAATCACTTTGTGACAGCCTTCTCCCACAATGTAGACCTCTTCCAAGACAATTCAACCCTGCCCCGACTTGCCAACCTCTCTGCTGATGAGCGCGCTCTCATCCGTGCCGATGTCACGAATCTGATCATGACTCATGATCCTACTGATGTCTGCGAGGACTGGCAGGTGATTACGGATATGATTGTGACTCGGTACAGCAAGGAGCTGTCATACTTCGCTTCCGGTAGCGTTGATTCAGTTGAGAACCTGCAGTCTGAGATCGAGCGTGTTCTGTCTCCATTTATTGACTACAGTAAGCGCAATTATCTTGCTGAGATTGAGCGCTGTGCGACTCAGTTCTTACCGCCGTTGCCTTCGGAAGGTGGTGGTATTGCGGCACATGCTGTTCACGGCGTTGCTCACAGAATTTGCTCGGCTTTGGTTGAGACTGGAAAGGAGCAGGATCTTGAGTCTGCAGTGCAGGTTGTTCGGAATCTGGTTGCTTATCTTGATTGGGCGACGTGGAAGGAGTGCCGGGGTTGTGCGACGAATGAGATTTGCGTCGTGCCAATTTGGCCTATGGGTACGGTCCAGGACTACAATAGCCCTCAGTGCAAGGATGCATCAAATCCATACGATCAGGGTGGAGAGAGTTACTGGGGTGGAATACACCACTGAGTAAGCTACTATGGTCACTATGTAGTCTTTTTTATAAGTTCGGTTTCTGAATACCCTCACAGCGGGACCTTTTCTTTGGGCTTAATTAGCTTGATTCAGATATATTGAATAGTCATCGAGGGTATATACAGTATACAGAACATAATAACGGCCAAGAAGTATGTAGAAGGGAGGCCACTGTGTTCGTCATTGCTGCATGTGCTAGTCCCAAGGCAAACCGCGGGCTCATATTCCCTTTATATACATTATGAAAGTTATGAATGGTAGAAAAGAACGATCACAATCCCTCAAAAGGGTAGATTATTTACTGGGAGAGAGCACTCTTGACGGAGGAGACGATGGAGCCGACTGCAGTGCCGAGGCTGCCGAGGCCAAGAGTGGAAAGGAGACCCTGGACAGCGCCGTCAACCTTAACCAAAAGCATGGAAGACTTGTCCTCGGTGTTGACAGCAATAAAGTCAGTACCGGGGATCTTGGGGACCTTGGACTTGAGCTCGGAGAGAGAGGGCGCCATGGCGACGACGTTACCGACGGGGCCCTCAATGGTGGAGAGGTCGACACCACTGAGGAGACCGAGGAGGGTAGGCTCAACCTGAACGAGGAGATCCTTGCCACCAGCGAGGTTGTTCACGTCAGTGATAGAGAGAACGTTTTGGAGAGGGTCATCGCGCTTGATGTTGCCGGTGATGGACTCAAGGCCGCCAACGATGGAGCCGAGCAGGCTGCCAACCTCACCAAGGCCGAGGCTGGAGAGGAGATCGACGACTCCCTGGGTCAGCTCGATGAGGGCAGCGTTGCCATTCTCGAGGACAGCGGTGACCTGGGTGAGGCCGGAGCCGCTCTTGGTGTCGAGCTGGTCGACAGACTCAGCAGTTTGGACGACCTGGCCAACGGGCTTCTCGAGAGCGCTGAGGGGCAGCTTGCTCATCAGGCGCTCGAGCTCAGACTCCGCCACCATCTTGAAGTTTGAGGTTCCAGCCTGGTTGAGGATGGAAAGGACCTGGCCGGGACCGGAGCCCGCGGTCATGTGGGAGACGGCACCGGTAGGATTGGGCAAGGCGGAGAACGAGGAGCTTGCGGCGGCACCGGAGCAAGTGGGGATCATAGATGCCACGGGTGGAGGGATACCCGAAGGGATGACGCCGGAGGGCAGGCAAGAGGGAACTCCGGAGGGCAAAGAGCCGGTGGTGCCTGATGGGATGTTGGCGGGTAAAGCCATAGCAGTCGAGGCCAGAAGAGCGGCAGAGAAAGCGAAAGACTTCATCTTGTTGATTAATGAGTGGAATAAGTTCAAAGACTCGTTTGGTACAAATGAATGGACGGTATAAACCGAGATTAAAGGATGATTTGGTGGTAAGGAATGACAAGGAAGAAGATTCTTAGACTTCAAACATCACAGCAAGATATCTCGTGTTATATACCACAGTTGTTGTCCGGGGATCAGCATTGATGCGACTCCCATCCCTCGTCTGTTGACGTTGTTGGGCGTACTCCTGAGCTAACAGGTGCTTTGACAGAGGGGCCCCCCGTATGGCAAATGATTGCGATAGAAAATGGAGCAATACCAGTCCTGTTTCATCAACCAAGAAGTAATCCTCACGCTGAGTGGCTACTGAAGGCGCCACCATATAAGATGGGGTCCGGCACATAGTGTCGGTTCCGCTATAAGCTTTATAAGAGGCCCATCTTCATTAGCCAATTTGCAGATCATCTACGTCGTAGAACAGATCAGGGGAATTCCCCACTCTAACCGTCAGGATGAGCCCAAGGCATCGATGACATCGTCTTCATTGGTCAACCCTATCTCATTTTTGAGTCAGAAACCTACTGGTTGAGGCAAAAAATAAGCATTCCCATTATAGGGATACACTTGCCACATATTCCGTTGAGTCCTCATAGTACCCCATATTCCGTAATCCGTGCCACCATATGGCAGTGAGGGCTCCGAGCTCAAATTCACCGCGTTTGTTATTGATAGCGTGGCAGGTAGCAAGCCTTGGAAGTTCTATCAAGATCGACACGACTAGTTCCAACCTTATCAATCCGAACGGCCAATGACTGATACTCTTCTGGGTTAAGATCGCCTGAGATCAGCAACCTGTCCGCCCCAAGAAACCGTAAGAAGAACGTTGAACTCCACGCGGGTAACATTAACGCTGATTGCAATCTTAATCCTCCACAGAGGGTTAAAATGTCAAATAGATCAGTGGGGCTTTGGTGCCCGTTTATTGTGAGTTCTTTGTTTGCACTCCGGAAAAACGCAGAATTGAGCCCTGATGATATCATTGCGTCGGAGTGGGATATCCCCAGGGGATTGACAGGGGTTACCAACGCTCTGGGCTACATGCATGACCGTATACATCAGTGTCACTGCAGTTTCAACGTTGCAAATCTGAATATTGAATCTAAAAAGTGTCCAGGGGAGAAAGTCAACCCCATTGTGATTTAGACTTTGAATGGGTCCGGGGAATTCAGGGGTAAACACTCGCAGCCTTTGATGGTTGATTAATAGTAAAAAATGCGTTATTTGATGCATTTTTGGTTTTGATGTGTTCATGTATGTATTCCATATAATATGTCTGTACTATGTAAACAATTTAGGTCAGCACCTCAAGCCAGTGGGTTGTTCTTCAAAATCGCATCAAAAAATACAACCTAACTTAAATCTTCTACTTGTCGTATGAAGTGTAGGGCTACCAGGGTATATTTATATGTTGTAAATAATTTGGAGATGAATTGTACCTGGTACAATTTGAGAACTCGCCCAAGTATATCTTACTAAGAAACTCTATAGTCGTAAAATGATCAACGAGTCATCTACTAACATTTCTATTGAGCACTATTAATTCTTTCCTCTTTTGCTTGTATCTCTATAGAAACTCTACCTTTGCAAGTCTTATATTTGGAATATGTGCTATGTTACAATGAATTTATCCAACCCCAAAAAAGGAGATACAGCATTTAATCCAGTAGATAATAAAAAAAGAGATACCAGGTCCGGGACTCGAGCCCGTATAAACGACCCCTCAAAAGGGCATGGTATGGACATTTGTCGTTGACCATGTGCCACTACGTCGCGTTGTCATTATGCCAGCCTGGGGATAGTCTGAACCCACTTGTCTCTAGACCATCCATATTGCCTATTCACGCCTAGCGGGTTGGTAATACAGATGCCTGTCATTGACCGAAGAAAGCATGCCAATTAAGTAAGGGCTATGATTGTTCCGTATGCGCTTGATAGATTACCACACTAATTACATGAGCTACCATAAAAGCGGGTCCAACGGGGATACATATAGTAAGCCATAGGGATTTACTATATGTTTATAATAAAATGTGTGATGAGTTGCGGATATTCACAATTTTCGAGATTCTCCAGCTTCGCTGCTGGCCTATTTCCTCATGACAAATAACTTAGTTAGACAAAATTTTAGCGGCAGCGGCCTCCGCAACCACCATGACGGCAGTTTGGATGTTACCAGTCGGGAGGTCGGGGTGGATACTGGCATCAACAATGAACTATGAAAAAAGGGTTAGTGTCATCTTTCGAGCAAATAAACTATTATGAGTCACTTACCAAATTATCCACGCCATAAACCTTGGTATTGGTGTCGACAACGGAAGTGCCGTTCTTACGGCCATCATCGGTGCCCATCTTCGCAGTGCTGGTGTAATGCGTACCAGGGGTCTGGGACTTCAAGATAGCCGAGACATTAGTGTGAGTCTCAAGCTCAAAGCCAGTGGAGGGGGCGGTGATCTCCTTGACCATCTTATGAATAAACGTCTGGGCGGCCTTTCGGTCAGCAGCGGTCTGGAGGTAGGGCGACTTTTCAATGACGGTCTTTCCGCTGGCATCAAGTCCCAGAACACCGGACGAGGTGAGGCCGTGGGTCATGTATGTGGTAATGGTTACCACGCCCTCACCGGTAGGCGCGCACGAGCCCTGGTAGTACTGAGTGTGGCCATTAATCTCCTCCGAGGTGAAAAAGATCATGCGGTGCTTGCCCTGGGTCAGGACACCGCTGTGCTTGCGGTAGAGGGAGATATCGTGGGAGTCGGTTCCATTCAGTACCCCCTCGTAGTCAACAAGGCCAAATGAGGTATTAGTGTTGAAGACGATTGGGAAAATGGGGTGGTCTTTGAGACCGACACCGACAGGCAGGTTAATCCACTGAGCCTTGGGAGGAACTGCAACACCGCTCTTCTTCGCAGTTTCGATCTGGGCCTCGGCACCAATACCAGAGTTCCACAGCAGACGCGGAGTAGACAGAGCGCCGGCAGCTAGCACCACGCGACCGTGGGGAGCAACAGTGATGATCTCGGAGCGGCCCGAGGCAGTCTGAATCTCGACACCAATCACCTTACTACCGGAGCGGACCAAGCGAATCACTTTTGTTCGCAGAGCAAGGTGGAAGTTGTCTAGCTTGGCAGCATCGGGAAGATAGGTGCGAACAGGGCCAGCACGCATCTGGTTCTGCACATTCCAGGACGGGTAGCTGTAGACCTGGTGCTTCTCATTCGGCTCGGCGATCATATCCACCGATTTCCAGCCAAGACCACCGAGGAATTTGGACAGCACACCGTAAAGACCCTGGTCATATCGCTTGCCGTCCGCAGAGGGCAAGGTGGTTCCGGGGTTGCGTTTGTAGAGTCGGTCTGCAGCCGACTCGACATCCTTCCACTTCCAGCCCGTGGGCCATTTGTCGTCGAAGTCACGGGCTGGCGGGTGAACAAAAACCATATAGTTGACCGTCACGCCACCACCAAGCACACAAGCAGCATTGCCGGCAGTGTCAGTGCACATATACTGGTTCCAGACATCGAGCGAGCCGATGTCGGCCGACAGTCCCGGAAGATCGATGGGCGTCAATGAGTGATTCCATAGTAAGGTCTCATTATTACCGGTGGCCACAGTTGGTCCGACACCTCGCTCAAGGAGGAGAACTTTCTTTCCAGCCTGAGCGAACTTCTCGGCGCTGATTATGCCCGAAGGGCCACCACCGACCACAATATAGTCATAGGTGTGGTTCTGGAAGACGGAAGTAGAAGCAGCTCCTGTAAAGACAGAGAGAGCAACAGCGAGAGAGCCAGCCTGGAAGATCCTCATTTTGACGTCTATGAAGAAATGAAATCTCACGAGATCTCGATCTATAAATCTTGTCAGGGAAGGGGGTGGACCATTTTAACTATTCCAATTCCACCGCACCTGTGGATCTCTTGAATTACTTGGCAAGCCATGCGAAACATGGCGAAACATGGCGAAACATGGGCTCGTGAATTTAATTTCGTTCCAATTAGGTATAGCGCGATCAGATAAGAGATCTAACTTTTTTTGAAGAAAGTCACCTAGTGAACCATCTCTCTCGATATATTCTAATATAAATTTTCCTCGAAGCGTTCAGTTAGCATACAATAATTGATAATAAGAAGGATTAAATCGTTCTAGCACACCAGACGAGTATGTTGGCTCCGAAAGTTACAACACTTGAATTGCTGTTTTGAGAAGTCTCGGACCGAATAAACTATGCCTCCACTTCAATCATTTAGCCTTTGCAATTCTCGGAGCAAACACTCCGAAAGGGTCTAAGTTTCCCTAAATTCTCCCGGGAAAGCGTTTTCCCAGCTAGCTCTGCCGGTGACGTAGAGGTAATCAACCTCGAGCTTTAGGGGGTACATGTTTCTTGAAATTTGATTCGTCTATTCCACGGGAGAGGCGTTGAGAATTGTACAAACTTCCCTATCTCGCTCAGCCACCGTCCCACATGCACTTGAATGCTGTATGGAATAACATTCTGGAACACTTGCCAAGTGGATAGTGGGTATCATTGGGGCCCTCCCACTATCCTTACCAAGCATATCATAATCAGAATCTCATCGGAGGATCCACTTCAAGTAACCATTCATAATCACTTTGTAGATGTTCTCACATCCTTCGGTGGCTATAAAGGTCCCAAATCCAGGCAACCTTATATTTGCCTGGAACTGGATCTTCTCATTTTTCCCGCACCTTAAACATGCTGACCTACACAGAATTGGACGAGCCACTTAAGCCCCTGCTATGATGTATATAGTAAATTAGATCCTTGCGCTTCCAGGAACATCCATTTGGCCCAGATCACGTCTCACGGTTCAGCAGTGGTACTTCCGTAGTAGCGCCGACAATAGGCTGAGCGATCAATTTCTTCTATCGGATATCCGGAGTCCTGTAATATTATTTATGAAACATAGTCTTCATTTCATAACTAGCGGCCAAGCTTTGCATGGCCCTGTTACACGATAATGTTGGCAAATTGGCAAATTCGGGTGCTTCTCACAATAACGAAGTACATATAAGTAGTACTAGGACCATCCGGCAGAAATAAATAAACCACCTGCCTAGGATGTGAGTTCAAAGCATCTATTACTCTTAGTCAACTGATATAAAACAGCAAATATCAGTGTAGGCGCGCTTATAGATTTGTATAATTCAAAAATTTGTGGGGAAACCATGGCTTTACTAGTTATATATATCCAGAGTCCAGCGCCTACTCTCTATCTTCTATCCTTGTTGTACATCTTCACCAAGGCCATATTCCCCATAATAAATCTCCATAACTAGAAGGAATTGCGTCTAACTCAATACAATCAACAAAGAACCAGCTGGAGCCATACACCACAAGTACAGCTTGATGTCATGCGCGATGAGGTCATTTTGCTTGTATTTTGAGTTGAATAAGTGCATAAACCGTCCCAAATATCATAGGCCAAGATATTCCCTGTTATTGATAGTAATGAGCATTGAAATATTGAGTGCCTCGCAAGTTCCATGTTGAATATGGAAAAGATGGGGAAAGCTTGGGATATGGAGGGGAGTTAACAAAAGAGTGGGGCCGTTGCGTAGGGCAATCCGCGAAGCGCCATCCTCTTCAACCGGAATCACTCTTCTCCAGGCACAAAATGACGAGTCCAACCCGCCTTATACCGACGTCTTCACGAACTCTCCTCCTCACCTTTGACGCCTTCGGCACCCTCTTCCACCCGCGTCTTCCAGTCCCAGAGCAATATGCCGCGACCGCGCACCAATTTGGATTATCGCGCACTACCGTCACCCCGGACAAACTCGAAACTGCATTCCGCGACACATTTCGTGCGCAGGCGCATCGATACCCAAACTACGGTCGCGCGGATGTTCTCCGAGGCCAATACGGGGGACCGAGGCAGTGGTGGGAGGAGGTGATTAGGGGGAGCTTCGGGCGTGTTTTGTCTGCAGAGAATGGGGAGGCGCGTCCTAAACACCCTAAAGAGCATGTCCCTGATGACATGGTGGAAGCGCTATTAGATCGATTTGCTAGTTCCGAGGGTTACGCGCTCTATGACGATGTGCTACCCTTCTTCCGCCGATTGCGCAAACTGAAGTCCGCACATAAGTGGTCGTTTGATAGGATCGTTGTTGGGGTGGTATCCAACTCGGATGACCGCGTCCCCGCTGTGTTGAAGTCATTGGGGTTAACGGTTGGTGATATGCGTGCTGACCAGGATAAATCGAGTATGGATCTTCCCGGGTTTGAGGGACGAAGTATCAAAAAGGATGATGCCGGGGAACAGGACAAAGATCACGAAGACCGCAACTTGGAGCTCGATATTGATATGGTTATTACGAGTTATGAGGCCGGTCAAGAGAAACCTCACCGCTTGATCTTTGACGTGGCGAGACGGCAGTCTCTAAAGGTTGCCCGTCCGTGGTTGACCAGCAGAACCAAATTCAAGTCTGTGCATGTGGGGGATGATTTTAAAAAGGATTATCAGGCTGCACGGGATGCAGGCTGGGAGAGCTATTTGCTTCCTCGAGACTCTATTGGTTTCGATTCATATGACGCAAAGGAACTCCCAGATCTCCTGAAGTTAGCAGATAAATTGGACCTTTTCCCATAAAAGCACCTGTCAACAGACGGCAGATGCACAGTTGAACTTCATAAAAGTCAATCATCAACAATTTACGTCAAACCACGAATCAAGAAGATAACCTCGAGGTTCCCTGGCCTCTAGGAAACAAACATTATCTTTTGCCTCAAACTGGCAAGCGACAACACACACTGCCTCTCTCCTTGTCACTGGAGCTTCCTTGGTAGCAACGAGCTTTTAATCTGGACCCTGAAAGGTTTCGCTGCGCAATCTCGAGGCCACACCCCAAAACTGTACCGGTCATGACATATCTGCAGGTGGTACGGAAGACGCTTACCTATCGCTTGTTGTCGATTCGGCTGGATGAACCTGCCGGTTCCGGTTTTGGTATATTCGCATCTACCGACAGTTTCTATTCTCTTGAACGACCTTCAAATCCAATTGGGGACAGCCGTCTGAAGGACCTCGCTTGAGATGAGGCTAGCCAGCTTTTGTCATGCATTCATGCATTCATGCATATCGTGGTGAGGGCGCCGACAGATATAATAATTGTATCCGCTGCAAGAATATTGTGTATTTAGTTTGTCTTCCATTTCTTAAGCTTTTTTCGTATTATTTTTAGCATTCTTTAGCCCTTTGTTTCATGTTTCCTGCATTCAAGACTCAATTACAATGTGCTTCATTTTCGCATCTTGCTCTATACCTTCTTGACCAATCAAATATCCGATATGCTAAGTCCGTCATTAGGACACCCCGCATATCCGCGGGCAAGTTCCGGGCGCGGGGCCGAACTGCGCCTTGAACTCCGAACTTGCATTGAACATTTATCGTCTTCACGCTGCAAAATATTCCTGGAAGTTCACCAATTGGAAGTTTGTAGTAGTCTTGAAACTCGACGTGGAGAGCCTAATCTGGTTCGACATTGAAGATGGAAGGCGTTCAAAAGCCCCAGGGGTCTGTTGTGATCATCGGAGCTGGTACTCAAGGTAGACGGCTTGCGCACATGGTAAGTGCTGATATTCAAGACCGTGGCCATCTTTCTTGATGCTAACACGTCCAAGTGGTCAAGCCGAGGCGGCGCTGTTTATCTAGTAGATCTTCAAGAGCAACAACTCCAAGACGCTCTGAAGTATGTGGAACAACTTCGTGCAGATGTTACAGACCATGAAGGAGATTGGGGGAAGATTGAGACCTCCCAGCCCTCTTCCCTGCAATCTAGACTGAAAGATGCATGGCTCGTTGTTGAGGTATGACTTACCTTTCTCGATAGGACCAATTGATTGACATGACTTGAAACCAGTGTGTGCCGGAGAACTTGAGTCTAAAGCGGAAATTGATCACTCAACTTGACGAACTTGCACCCGAGGACACAATCATTGCTTCGAACTCGAGTAGCTATGGAATCTTTGAGATCATCGAGGGCATGAGCTTGAAAAACAACAAACGAGTCATGAGCGCGCACTGCTGTAGGTGGTTATTCAATGCTAAATGGAATACTTCACTGACACCTTTTGTCAGACTGGCCACCAGAGACATCCGGTAATACCTATCACTATATCTAAATGATCGTCTTCTCCAGTTCGATTTACTAACTTGGAAGCCAGCAATCGAAATCATGGGCCACAAGGATAGCGATCCTAAGCTGATTGATCTAGTCTTGGAGCAATGTAAAGAACACGGATTCTCGCCTTTTCACGTCAAAAAAGACTCTATCGGTTACATATACAACAGGTGAGTCATTATTCTCTCCCTACTACTATACGATCAGGCTTATAACAACCGTCAAGAATCTGGGCTGCTATCAAGCGAGAGACTCTGCTCACATTGTCTGAAGGTGTTGCCACACCCAAAGAAATTGATGCCATTTTCAAAGACGTCTTGAAGACGCCTAAAGGCCCATGTGAGCAGATGGATGTTGTTGGCTTGGATGTTGTGTTGGACATTGAGAATCACTACGCCGAATCTCGGACTGGGATTCCTACAGAGCCGCGGGACTACCTCCGGGAGATGATTCAAGGTGGAAATATGGGCATCAAGAATGGTCGAGGATTCTACGACTATGAAGAACAAAAGAAATAGAAATTTCCGTAGTCCATGTTCGATTTACATCCATTTTGTGCAACATTCGCTCTTATATACCCCAATAGGGAAGCCTCACATATTAACAGCCAATCAGCCATCTGAATCGCCTGTTTCCACCAGCATCATTGGTCTAGTGGTAGAATTCGTCGTTGCCATCGACGAGGCCCGTGTTCGATTCACGGATGATGCACATCTCTTTTTGGTTTTTTATTTGTGGAATCCACCAAGGACCCATCTGTAGCTTGGCTTGTTGTGAACGAAAAACAATACGTGAATTACTCGAAGTTCGGCTTTTGAAAGGTCGCTAAATTTGCAATCTAAATGTTTGATTGAATATGTAGCAGATTCATTATGAACAGTACGCCTAATGCCCAAAATCATTATGTGACCCTAACTCCGGGAAACCAATCCCATTCTTCCATCATAACATAACATTTAAAACAACAACCCCGCGCCCATGCAGAAAGAAAGACATCACTAATTCCATGGGGCATCCATTCAGTCCCATTGGCCCTTATCCAACCCACCCAAACCACCACCAGTATGCTTACCCAGCAGCTTGGCAATGTTAGAACCTCCACTGCGCTGCTTGATGCGGAGCTCCTTTTCACGCTCACGCTCACGCGCAGCTGTATACGAGTTGACGGCACCGCCCTTCTTGGGACCAGAAGCTGCAGCTTTGGAGACACGGTTGGAGGTGTTTGAGCTGCTGGAAGATGAAGAGCCAGTTGTAACACGACGCAGAAGTTGAGGAGGGCGGAATCCAATAGGACCCTCTCCGTCGCTGCCGTTATGGAATGCAAGCTTGGAGTTTGCGGGGCCAGAGTTAGTGCCCGTGGCGGAGTTGGAGGATGCTTGTCGGAGGAGTGCAAGGCGGTCGACCACGACTCCGCGCGTGCGGCGTGGGTGGCTGGGTTTGGCGAACGTCTTGTCCGACTGCGACTGATCGTCATGGTCTTGGGCTTCTTCCGCGCCAGGGGTGTCTTCATCTTCTTGCTCGTCTTCTCTATCATCGAGGGAGGCATCGTCCTGGAAGGAGTCGTAATCGGGGGTTTCAGTTAGGAAGGACAACGTTTCACGGATCTCTGCTATGGTAGCTGGTTTCTTGGACATTGCGCTGGCGGGGGTGCGACGGAGGCGAGCGGGCGGACGGTTGGTTGCATCTTCGGTCGAGGGTTCGAGAGGGCGCTTGCGGGTTTGGCCATCGCTCGTCGCATCATTCGACTGTTCTCCCGTAACAGGGTCCTGTGATGCTTGTCCTTGGGAGTCAACCTCTTCCTCCTCCAGGAAGTCGATATTGAAGTCATCATCAATTTCGCGATCCTCAACAGCCTTGAAAAATGCGGCCTTCTTGGGATTCTCGGCAATCTCGCCGATCTTCTCGTCTGCAAGGAGAGCGCGGCGCATCTTAGCAAACTCTCGTTGCTTCTCACGACGACGTGCTAGGAGCTCATCGTCTGAGTCGTCGAGGTCAAAGTCATCATCCGCATTCTTGCGGCGACGGAGGGCTCCAGTGGTGATATCTCTCATCAACTTGGCGACATCTTTCTCGTCGCGGTTGCGATCGTGAACCCTTAAACAATGTTAGCATATTCTCATTAAACATGTATCAACTCTAACATACGCATTAAGTGCCGCAAGTTGTTTCTCATCAACCACCTCGCCACTGTTGTCATTGATCATTTGGCGATCAATGGCGTTTTCTTCACCATCACTCTCATCACTGTGACCTCCAAGGCCGGCATATTCATCTTCGGATTCTTCGGCGGCCTCATCGACAATGTCTTTCGCCTTGCTGTTTTTCTTGTTGTATTGTGGGGCAGGATTCTTCTTTACGGCCTTCTTCATGACATTGAAGGCATTGGCGTCGATCTCAAAGTCACCTTCATTGTGATTCTCGTCGACCTGAGAGAGTTCAATTGCACGTCCTCGCCGTAACATTTTGCGTTTGCGGTCAGCAATGGGCGACTGAGTTTGACCCACAAGGACGGTATCGACGGTAGACATGGGCGGGGTACCCCTGAATCTTTTCGCAGGATCGAATGGTGAGAATACAAAGCCCTCGTCCTGGGTTGGGTCGGGCAGCTGGGATTGGGAATACTCCGAGAAGGCATATGGCGCAGGCGACTCTGAGACTCGGGTCACACCCTGCGTGTAGTCCTCCGTAAAGTCTTTGTCCTGGGGCTGGCTGTCTGGGACAAGAATCTCTGATTCCTCCTTTCGAAGCCGAGGAACAGCATGACCAGGATCTGGGAGGGAGAAAGGTACGGTGGCAGATTCCGCTTGGGTGTCAACCCAATTACCATCCAATGTGGAGGCAAATGCCTGGGTAAGACCTAGGGACATATTGCCTGGCGTTCCCATGCCAAGGAAGTTGGGCCGTTCGACGGACTTCGGAACATAACTCTGGGCTCTTGCAGGCGTTGAGGGTGCTTGTGGTTCGTCTTCATCTTCGTCATCGCTAATCACTCGAATTCGTCGTTTCCGTCTCGCAAAAGGCATTTCGTTCTCTGCATCTGAAGGAGCGGCCTCACTCTCGTCGTCGGCCGAATCGTCGTCTTCATCGGCCTCCTGTTCGATGAGGTCCCCGCCGCGATTGACGCGCTCGTTTTCTTCCTCTTGGTCATCTTCATCGTCTCCTTCGCCATCACCCTCCTGGTCAGAGCCGGAAAGCTCGTAGTCATCATCCTCTTCTTCCTCATCGTCACCATTGGCCTTCTTCCTAGCAGCTTTTTCCAGTCGGCGGATTTCGTCTGCCTCTTTGCGTGCCCTGTCAACAAGGTTTTCCATGTCATCTTCCATCGCTGCACGCTCCTCTGCTGTTTCTATAACCACACCCTTGGCCCTGAGCTCCTCAATGCGCTCCTGGCGCTCCTTGGCCGCTTGCTGTCGGGCCCGCCATAATAGACTCGCGGAAAGTTCTGCAGAGTTCATGGAAGCCGTTTTTCGCGTAGGAGATGTCAGGTGTGCTAGTGCCTTGAGCTTGGTCATAGAGGGGTCTTCATGCAGCTGTCTAGTAGGCAGGTTTTCGAACGCTGCGAGGCGACGGCATTTGCCAGGGTCTGTTACCACCTCAAGATCACTGTCGGAATCATCTGAATCTTTCTGGTGTGCAGCAACCTGTTGCCTGGAAAGCAGCACGCGGATAGGTGGCTGTTTCAGTGGGCGCGAAACTCTCTTCAGTTTGGCACCCTCTGATTTAGATTCAGGCACAGAAATCGAGATATCTTGGACTGCATTGCCCTTGCACAATACAGGATCCTGATCTGGCACCAGGAGGTCTTTCGGGTCAGGCAAATCTTCAGTGTCCGCATCCATATCCACATCAGCTGTTCGTACTTGGGCATGCTCTGAATCAGCGGTGGACTTGGTAGCATCTAAATGACTGGGAACTGGAGAAGTATGCGGGGTATCTTTGGTTTTGGTGCGTAGTTCTCCATCAGAGGAATTTTGTGATCCGACCGCCGATGATGAATTTACTGCGGGTTGCTCGGACAGTGTATCGGGTTGCATGAAGTTGAATTTGGCAAAGAGACTTTCTTTGGTGATCTTCTTTTTTGTCTTGGCCTGGTGAGCTAGTTGCATGTTACGGCTCATTCGCTGAGTCTCTTGCCTCATCTCATCCAGTGCCTTTTTGCTGGCTTTCCGGGGCTGACGGGCCTTCTGGGGGAGCTTGCTCGCAGAACTCGGATCTTCAGCATCGCTCTCCTCGCCTGAGAGTACCTGTGAGCTGAACTGCTCCAGCTGGGCTTTTCGGATGGCCTTCTTTGTGGCCTCGGCTTTCTCTCGTTCCTCGCGTTCCTTGCGCTTTTGAGCGACAAGAGCCATGAAACGGGCGTTTCCCTTAGGTTTCATCTCAGTGGGGGTTTCGGTATCTTCGTTTTCGGTGTCTGGGTCGGCGTGCGGTTCACCTGGGGAGGATACGAAGAGGGGAGAGTCGGATCTTAAACGGGGAGGGGTTTGCCTCGTTCTGTTATCAGACCTGGGGGAGTTGGTTGTGGATTTATGCTTTCTCCTCGGGCCAGCCGTAGGTAGATCGTCATCACTAGATTCGCCGATGGGCGTGGGTTGTGGTTCTGTCTCCTCGGGTTTCTCGCCCTGTTTTTTTTCTGATCGGATGGCCTTGGACACGCGGGCAAATGCCGAAATTTCGTCGTTGGTGACAGCTGGTCCAGCACTACCCTGTAAGCGGGCGGCCATACGACCCTTTGGTCGGAAAACCTCATCTGCACTGTCTGAATCCTCTTCTGAGTCGTGCAATGGGCCATTCGTGCGTGTAGCAGCAGCCGGCACCGAAACACGCCCTAGGTCAAGCTTCGAGACCGCATCTGTTGACTTGGCAATTTGAGTGTCGTCCTCCGAATCGCTGTCAAATTGAGCCATCATAGCCTTGATCTTCTGGCCGGGCGTAATAATGTTCGGCGAATCGCCCGCGGGCGACACGGAACGCGTCGACCGTGGTGTGGATGGTGAGGACATGTTGTGAATATTATGGTGAATAATGGTGGGTTTTAGGAAATGCTTTCCATAATGATATCGATTGTACTTGGGGGCGAGCTTTCAGACTTCCAAGGTTCGGAATAAGTTGGAGTGAACGCCAGTTTCAAGGGCGCATAGTCCGAACGCGATGCGCGTTCCTCGCGTTGCCACTACACGTGACCTTATCTTATCGCGTAATATCTCCCAAGGTTAATTGGATTTATTGTCACGGGCAACTATGCAAAGGACTCGGAGTATTGTGGTAACAAGTAATATTTTCTCTTTTAATCTTTTTTTGTGTAGTTTTTTTTATCTAGTTCTTTTGGAGATACCTCTTCCGGTGGATAAGTGCAGCGCTGCTAATAACGATGGGGATTTGCTAATGCTGTATTCCCAGAAGTCTCATAATACAAAGCTTGATGCTATTTTCTGAATGGACGCCGAGATCACCCACGGACTCCTCAAATATCGAGTAAGAAAAAAAAAGAAGTAAAAGATACAATCACAATGCGGGCAAGGTTTTGAGTCCATCGCCGCCAATGGTCCTTGAGACATCTAGACTTGTCTAGGGGAATCATGGAACCTCAGAACAAAAGAATATTCTCATAGGTAGGTAAATCGGACCAAGTAAGAGAGGCCACCGAAGCGAAGCGCAGGAAAAAAATGACATTCGGGAATGAGATTAGATCTCGATGTCGATGTCCATATCAAGGGCTGCAATGTTCTCATCGTCGGTATTGCGGTAACTAATCATGAAGCCATTCTTAGGCTTCTTTGGAGTGATGCGAGAGGCGGGAGTTCCCTTTTGTGCGGGACTGCCGTTAGATTTCGCGGTATCAGGGGTATCTTTTGAGTTATCGGCAGTAGCAGCGGACTTGGGCGCTCCGCTAACATCGTGGTGGGTTTTGGCCACTGTTCGCACACGCATGAAGGGATTCGGCGCTGCCTCTCCACGTGCAACAGCCTCGGCTGCCTTCTTAGCGGCCTTTCTCTCCTCGAGCTGAGCACGGCGACCGTTCTCAATGTTAAGCCTCTGGTTGCGGAGGTTGATCTGGTGGACTCGTTCGGCTTCCGATGGACCCCTATCGACCTCTTTCTTGACAAGGCTTGTTCCCCAGGACAGGGTCGGATTAACCATTTTCTGCAGTTCTGCCTCAATTTTCTCCACCTCCTCCATATTTCCATTGACTTTGGCGAATTCCAAATTTCTTTCAAGTTCGAGACGATTGAGCACATTCTTCTTTTGATCGAAAGCACCCTGGCGACGAAGTTTCTCGTTCAACTCCTCACGAGTGAATGTGTGGTTGAGGAGACGGTTGATATCGGCGACCTTCGACTCAACCTTGCTCTTTGTGGCTAGCTTGCAATCCTCAACAGTGAGGGTCTGGACGTAACGGCGGTACTCGGCCTAGTTGAGTGTTAATTCGATTCTAAGATTCGAAAGGAAGGAACAAACCTCAGTAATTGGAGAGTTCGAGAAAGTGACAAATGGGAAATCCCTGACAGACTTTCCATGTGCCAGCTTGACGTACTGATCCGTGACAAATGAACGACCGTTTTCGCCCTCCAAGGCGTATGGCTTGCCCTGAGAGATTCCTAGAAAACTGTCAGCGTGCATAAACAAGCTAGGCAACATCAAATCTTACCAGTAATCAGGCCCAGACGATATTCATTCTGGCCACTGTCGGGGTGTGGGCCAATGCTCAGCCGAGCGTAGCAGCCTATCATAGCATTCTCAAATCCAGGATAGAAGCAAACTTTGGCAAAGTTGTTACGTCCAACTTGAGCACGTCGAATTTCCCGAAGCTCGGCGGGCGGGTCATCCTTAGGAAGGGAAACAGAACGGCCAACGCGGTCATCCAATTCAAGATCACTCTCGGCATCAGCATCTTCATGGGAAATATCAGATCCCATGGAGCGCGAACGGCGGCGCGATTTCCCGGGGTCTCGGCGTCGGAGTTCATCCCGTTTGCCTTTCTGCTCACGCTGGCGCTTATAAGCCTCGATGGCTCCGGATGTTTCTCCGACTTTGCGACCACCAAGAGTGGTCTTCTGGCGCGAGCTCTTGCGCTGATTATCATCCAACCCTGCGGACCCTGCCTTTCGTTTGGCTTTCTTGGCCGCTCTTGCCTCCTCGCGCGAGCGAGATGCTAGAAGGCGGCGTAGAGCTAGATCCTGGTTGTGGCGATCGACTTGCTGGGCACGTTCGGACAAGGTTTCCTCGCGCTGGATTTCAGGCATAGCCATAATGTCCTTTTTGTCCTGGGCCGAGTAGTACAGCTTATCATATGGGAAAATGGGGCGATCCTCGTCGTCGTCGCCGGAGTTGTCCGCCTCCGACTCGGATTCCGACATGGGGGCAGACTGAAGAGAATGACGAGATCCATCGTCAGACCTGTATAGATTGTCATGTCAATGAGGCTCTGCATTATCAAAATGGAGGGATACTGCTCACACTTCACCCTCCGATTCATCTCTTGTAGGCTTGCGGGATCGGCGACCCATCGATTTGGCGGTTCCTTTGCGACCCATGGCTGCAGGTGAGGTATCACGGTCTTGACCATGTGAAGAAGCGGAGTGCGCTGGTGATTTGGGGGGTGGTGAAGTTTCCTCTTCAGAGTCACCCGCCAAAGCGAGCAGCTCAGCATCCAAATCGTCCGCCATTGTGAATGTCTCTCAATGCAGTTATACCCTCAGTAGAACTCAATAACCGGGAGACCTATATATCAATAGGCATTCAATAACCCTAGAACAATAGGGGTATTCGCGTTCCTATGGGCTTATCCCCTCCTTTCCAGGAGTCGTTCCAAAAATATGGAGAAGTAAGCAAGGCTTGCAAAAGGTGGTCCAAAATGTCCGTTCTGGATGAAGTAATGTCCCAAATTCAACAAAAACTCTATACACGGGAGGAAGGGAGGGCGTAATGGAGGGTATCGTAAGAAGCGCGTAGATGGTCGTCGCAAGTTGGCTTTTGCCGTCAACTTCATGACGTTCAATGCCAAGCTGATAATAAGCGCGCGGCAGCGCCAAGACAGTCTAAGCGACCAATACGCGACCAGAGAGGTGCGTCCCTTGAATCAGGTTCAGTAGTATTCTAATTCAATTTCTCGATGTCGTCTTTACCCATTCTGCGTAGATGCGCCTTGTCGCACTCTCGTTGTGCTGCGCCAGCAACAACTCCTATTTTTCTCGATTTTCTCGTGCCGTCAACATTTAAGCATGGCCAACGTCGGCAGGCTTCAACTACAGCCGGCACCCCCGGTGGTTCCAAACCTCGATATGTTCTCAACAAAGAGCAACGGGAATTCATGGACAGTGCCCTGCGAGTGAATCAAGCTGGTGAACTTGCCGCGACCCTGATCTACAAAGCCCAAACGCCTCAGATCGTCCGCTCATACCCGCACCTCCGACCCTTGATGAAACACATGTACGACCAGGAAGCAGGGCACCTCAAGACCTTCAATCATCTCATCGCCAAGCACCAAATCCGTCCGACGGCCATGTATCCGGCATGGGAGGTAGCCGCCACCTTTTTGGGTTGGTCGACTGCGGCGTTGGGTCGCGAAGCTGCAATGGCATGCACCGAAGCCGTGGAAACTGAAATTGGAACACACTACAACGACCAAGTAAGAGAGATTCTGTCTTGGGAGGCAGATGCCGAGAGACGGGGAGAGGAGTTGGATGAAGAACTCAAAGAAATGTTGGCCACATTCCGCAGAATTCGTGACGAGGAACTAGAACATCTCGACCATGCCGTGGCCAACGACTCAAAGGAGGCCAAGCCCTACGACCCGCTTGTCGATGTCATTCGTTTTGGTTGCCGAACCGCCATCAAGATCAGCGAGAAGATCTAATCTGGCAATTTTGTGGAACGCATGTGCCGGGGTTGCGCCGCCATTTATATATTCTGTTGCCGTCCAGGACTCCATGTACTATACCGACTACTTATCTCGATATTGCTAACTATATCTAACATTGTACATTCTAATTTCCAGTTATGTGCCCGATTCAATCTATCGTTCGTCGCAGGGTATCAATAAAATAACCGCCTTCTGTGGGCTCATGGTCTCTGACTTTTATCCCCGTGGTGTATAGCCAGCACCGCTCACTTAGAGTCAATGGGGTTTTGCTCCAAGTAGTCCAAGAAGTTTTGCGAGAATCTCACAACCTGCTGGTAGACCTCCTCAAATCCATTAGCACCCCCATAGTAGGGATCCTTCACCACTTCACCGCCGCCAACGCGGTCGTGTAGTTTTCCACCTTGGCCGAAATCGCCAAACAACCGTACCTCGGCCACCTTGGCATCAGCCCCGTATGCACCGATGGCAGCATCTACGTGCGACCGCGTACTCCTCGAGCTTGGCTTGTTGTCGGTCTTCCTCTGCAGCATCGCAATGACCGACTCGCGCACATCCTCTAAGTCGCGGAGATTGGACTTGTCCATCGCGAGCAGGTAATCGAAAGTGAGGAAGTCTTCCCTAGTGACTTTGCGGGCAGCATGGTCGTAGTTGGTGATTTTATGGCGGCGCAGCGTAGACATGGTGCGGGAGTCGGGCGGCTCGAGGCTGTGGTACGCGGCCGTACCGGCGGAGTCAATCTCACCGATGGAGGGGTGGGCGGCGGCCAGGTTGCGGAACACTCCTTCGGCCATCGGGGAACGACCTAGATAGGATTAGCATGTCGCAATAGCGGGGGAGAACCAGGTATGATGACGGACAGATATTTCCTAGGCACACAAATAGCACGCTGGTAGAGCGCCCATTCGAGTTGGATGCCATAATGGGGTAGGGATCACCAAGGAATCTTGATCTGATTTTTCGGGATATGCAGAGCTAGGAAGTGAGATGATAGTATAGGAAGTGCCTGGGTTTTGACAATGCAAGGCGGGGTTTATCGATAGGCCAATTTGGGTCTCCACCAGAGTCCTCTAGTCCTCTAACGGAGAGAATCTCTTCACTTTCCTTACGTCGTCCTACCCATATATCATATGTACATTGCTA